AGAAATGGTTTCTGGTTCAGTGTCAGACGCCGCGTGCGCGCCTTGCGTGGCCAGCTGCGGGCAAAGCCTCAACAGCGGTGTGACGGGGACACCTAGCGGCCTGGAGGTTGCCCGAGACTCAAATCACTTCAAAGGGGCGCCCTCAAAACCCCCATGTCGCCAAAGAGACACAGAGTGGAGAGAAAGAAGTGTAACTAGCGGGCGACGTTTTCACCAAATGTCTTCTTGTTGTTGTTGTTAGTAGCACACGGGGCCAGCGAGATGGGCCCACGGTGGTGCCATCGTGAGGCCATGCCACCAGAACTGTGCGGGGCCACCAGAACTGTGAGGGGCCACCAGAACTGTGCGGGGCCACCAGAACTGTGCGGGGCCACCAGAACTGTGAGGGGCCACCAGAACTGTGAGGGGCCACCAGAACTGTGCGGGGCCACCAGAACTGTGTGGGGCCACCAGAACTGTGAGGGGCCACCAGAACTGTGAGGGGCCACCAGAACTGTGTGGGGCCACCAGAACTGTGTGGGGCCAGCAGAACTGTGAGGGGCCACCAGAACAGTGTGGGGCCACCAGAACTGTGAGGGGCCACCAGAACTGTGCGGGGCCACCAGAACTGTGAGGGGCCACCAGAACTGTGAGGGGCCACCAGAACTGTGAGGGGCCACCAGAACTGTGTGGGGCCACCAGAACTGTGAGGGGCCACCAGAACTGTGAGGGGCCACCAGAACTGTGTGGGGCCACCAGAACTGTGAGGGGCCACCAGAACTGTGAGGGGCCACCAGAACTGTGTGGGGCCACCAGAACTGTGAGGGGCCACCAGAACTTTGAGGGGCCACCAGAACTGTGCGGGGCCACCAGAACTGTGAGGGGCCACCAGAACTGTGAGGGGCCACCAGAACTGTGAGGGGCCACCAAACTGTGAAGGGCCACCAGAACTGTGTGGGCCCACCAGAACTGTGAGGGGCCACCAGAACTGTGAGGGGCCACCAGAACTGTGTGGGGCCACCAGAACTGTGTGGGGCCACCAGAACTGTGAGGGGCCACCAGAACTGTGAGGGGCCACCAGAACTGTGTGGGCCCACCAGAACTGTGTGGGCCCACCAGAACTGTGTGGGGCCACCAGAACTGTGAGGGGCCACCAGAACTGTGTGGGGCCACCAGAACTGTGTGGGGCCACCAGAACTGTGAGGGTCCACCAGAACTGTGTGGGGCCACCAGAACTGTGAGGGGCCACCAGAACTGTGTGGGCCCACCAGAACTGTGTGGGCCCACCAGAACTGTGTGGGGCCACCAGAACTGTGAGGGGCCACCAGAACTGTGAGGGGCCACAAGAACTGTGAGGGGCCACCAGAACTGTGAGAGGCCTCCAGAACTGTGAGGGGCCACCAGAACTGTGCGGGGCCACCAGAACTGTGAGGGGCCACCAGAACTGTGTGGGCCCACCAGAACTGTGTGGGCCCACCAGAACTGTGTGGGGCCACCAGAACTGTGAGGGGCCACCAGAACGGTGTGGGGCCACCAGAACTGTGTGGGGCCACCAGAACTGTGTGGGGCCACCAGAACTGTGAGGGGCCACCAGAACTGTGTGGGGCCACCAGAACTGTGAGGGGCCACCAGAACTGTGTGGGCCCACCAGAACTGTGTGGGCCCACCAGAACTGTGTGGGGCCACCAGAACTGTGAGGGGCCACCAGAACTGTGAGGGGCCACCAGAACTGTGAGGGGCCACCAGAACTGTGAGAGGCCTCCAGAACTGTGTGGGGCCACCAGAACTGTGAGGGGCCACCAGAAATGTGAGGGGCCACCAGAACTGTGAGGGGCCACCAGAACTGTGTGGGGCCACCAGAACTGTGAGGGGCCACCAGAACTGTGAGGGGCCACCAGAACTGTGTGGGGCCACCAGAACTGTGTGGGGCCACCAGAACTGTGAGGGGCCACCAGAACTGTGAGGGCCCACCAGAACTGTGTGGGACCACCAGAACTGTGAGGGGCCACCAGAACTGTGAGGGGCCACCAGAACTGTGAGGGGCCACCAGAACTGTGAGGGGCCACCAGAACTGTGAGGGGCCACCAGAACTGTGTGGGGCCACCAGAACTGTGAGGGGCCACCAGAACTGTGAGGGGCCACCAGAACTGTGATGGGCCACCAGAACTGTGTGGGGCCACCAGAACTGTGAGGGGCCACCAGAACTGTGAGGGGCCACCAGAACTGTGAGGGGCCACCAGAACTGTGAGGGGCCACCAGAACTGTGTGGGGCCACCAGAACTGTGTGGGGCCACCAGAACTGTGAGGGCCCACCAGAACTGTGAGGGGCCACCAAAACTGTGTGGGGCCACCAGAACTGTGAGGGGCCACCAGAACTGTGTGGGGCCACCAGAACTGTGAGGGGCCACCAGAACTGTGAGGGGCCACCATAACTGTGTGGGGCCACCAGAACTGTGAGGGGCCAGCAGAACTGTGTGGGGCCACCAGAACTGTGAGGGGCCACCAGAACTGTGAGGGGCCACCAGAACTGTGAGGGGCCACCAGAACTGTGAGGGGCCACCAGAACTGTGAGGGGCCACCAGAACTGTGTGGGGCCACCAGAACTGTGTGGGGCCACCAGAACTGTGTGGGGCCACCAGAACTGTGAGGGGCCACCAGAACTGTGTGGGGCCACCAGAACTGTGAGGGGCCACCAGAACTGTGAGGGGCCACCAGAACTGTGTGGGGCCACCAGAACTGTGAGGGCCACCAGAACTGTCAGGGGCCACCAGAACTGTGTGGGGCCACCAGAACTGTGAGGGGCCACCAGAACTGTGTGGGCCACCATAACTGTGAGGGGCCACCAGAACTGTGAGGGGCCACCAGAACTGTGAGGGGCCACCAGAACTGTGAGGGGCCACCAGAACTGTGTGGGGCCACCAGAACTGTGAGGGGCCACCAGAACTGTGTGGGGCCACCAGAACTGTGAGGGGCCACCAGAACTGTGAGGGGCCACCAGAACTGTGTGGGGCCACCAGAACTGTGTGGGCCCACCAGAACTGTGAGGGCCCACCAGAACTGTGAGGGGCCACCAGAACTGTGTGGGCCCACCAGAACTGTGAGGGCCCACCAGAACTGTGTGGGACCACCAGAACTGTGTGGGGCCACCAGAACTGTGAGGGGCCACCAGAACTGTGTGGGGCCACGCAGCAGCGGTGAACCCGCTGGGGTCACGGTGGAAGATTCTCTCTCGATGATTCTCTCTCGATGATTCTCTCTCGATGATTCTCTATCGACGATTCTCTCTCGATGATTCTCTATCGACGATTCTCTCTCGATGATTCTCTATCGACGATTCTCTCTCGATGATTCTCCCTCGATGATTCTCGATCATTCTCTATCGATGATTCTCTCTCGATGATTATCTATCGATGATTCTCTCTCGATGATTCTCTCTTGATGATTCTCTCTCGATGATTCTCTCTTGATGATTCTCTATCGACGATTCTCTCTCGATGATTCTCTATCGACGATTCTCTCTCGATGATTCTCTATCGATGAATCTCTCTCGATGATTCTCTCTCGATGATTCTCGATTATTCTCTATCGATTATTCTCTCTCGACGATTCTCTATCGATGATTCTCTATCGATGATTCTCTCTCGATGATTCTCCCTCGATGATTCTCGATTATTCTCTATCGATTATTCTCTCTCGATGATTCTCTATCGATGATTCTCTATCGACGATTCTCTATCGATGATTCTCTCTCAATGATTCTCTTTCGATTATTCTCCTTCAATGATTCTCTCTGGATTATTCTCTATCGATGATTCTCTCTCGACGATTCTCTATCGATGATTCTCTCTCGATGATTCTTTATCAATGATTCTCTCTCGACGATTCTCTATTGATGATTCTCTCTCGATGATTCTCTATCGATGATTCTCTCTCAATGATTCTCTCTCGACGATTCTCTCTCGATGATTCTCTATTGATGAGTCTCTCTCGATGATTCTCTCTCGACAATTCTCTCTCGACGATTCTCTCTCGATGATTCTCTATCGATGATTCTCTATCGACGATTCTCTCTCGATAATTCTCTCTCGATTATTCTCTCTCGATTATTCTCCCTCGATGATTCTCTCTCGATGATTCTCTATCGATGATTCTCTATCGATGATTCTCTCTCGATGATTCTCTCTCGATGATTTTCTCTCGATTATTCTCCCTCGATGATTCTCTCTCGATGATTCCCTCTCGATGATTCTCTCTCGATGATTCCCTCTCGATGATTCTCTCTCGATTATTCTCTCTCGACGATTCTCTATTTATGATTCTCTATCGATGATTCTCTATCGATAATTCTCTCTCGATGATTCTCTCTCAACGATTCTTTCTCAACGATTCTCTCTCGATGATTCTCTCTCGATGATTCTCTCTCGATTATTCTCTCTCGATGATTCTCTCTCGACGATTCTCTCGATGATTCTCTCTCGACGATTCTCTCTTGATGATTCTCTCTCGATGATTCTCTATCGATGATTCTCTATCGATGATTCTCTATCGATGATTCTCTCAACGATTCTCTATCGATGACTCTCTATCGATGATTCTCTCAACGATTCTCTATCGATGATTCTCTATCGATGATTCTCCATCGACGATTCTCTGTCGATGATTCTCTATCGACGATTCTCTAACGATGATTCTCTCTAGATGATTCTCTCTCAACGATTCTCTCTCGACGATTCTCTCTCGATGATTCTCTCAACGATTCTCTTTCGATGATTCTCTCTCGATGATTCTCTCTCGATGATTCTCTATTGATGATTCTTTTTCGATGATTCTCTCTCAACGATTCTCTCTCGACGATTCTCTCTCGATGTTTCTCTCTCGACGTTTCTCTATCGATATTTATCTATTGACGATCCTCTATCGATGATTCTCTATCGACGATTCTCTATCGATGTCCCCGCACGCGGCTCCTGCGAGCGCGCGCCGCGCGTTACCAAGCGCCGGGGTTGTACCATTCACACGGCAGGAGAGGGGGGGGGGGGTCGCGTGGCATCGACGCAATCTCGTCGCGTTTGACGGCCCACGTCCGGGTTAGGCCACCCCCACTCCACTCGGCACGCAGTGGTCGCGCCCAATAGGATGCGACTTTGTCGCTGGAGTTGTCAGTAACTAGGAGCGCAGCGCTCCGACGCCGCGCTCACGCTCATCGTCGTTCTCGTGAGGACCTTGCTCGCTCCACCGCTGGATGAAGACGGCCTCTCCCTACAAGCCGCCGCCGCCGCCGCCGCCGTCTCTCACGACCCCTGCGATGTTATTCATCTCAGCCCGGCCGCTCGCTGCCCAGCCACATGAGTTGTGATGGCATCGTCCGCTCCATCTCTCATCGGTACTCAGCGGCGATGGTGGTGGTGATGGTGGTGGTGAACAAAGTCGACTCGCAGGTCGGAGTGAGAATCTCGCGCGCGTTTCATCCATGTGGCTGCGGCTGCGTTGTTAGTCTCCACCTCGCCTGCTATCAAGGAGGTCGTGGGTTCGACCGCGACCCTGACGCCTGCTGCTGCTGCTGTGTGTGAAGTTCGCGGCGTCTCTCCCCACGATCGCGTGGATCTCTCAGCGTCTCTCAGCGGTCTCTACGCGTTCGGAGTTATTTGGGGCTGCTGCTGCTGCTGTTCATCTCCACACGACTGCGAGCCGCTTCGCTGGGACGTCAATTGCGATGGCTACGTATAGCTCAGTGCGACTTAGCCGGTAATAGTGGAACAGAGTTGTTGTAGTTTGTCTGGCCTCGTAGACTGCCACAAGCGACGCTCCCCTCTCGCGTCAAACATTGCGGGTGGTGTCACGGCACGCGCGGTCTGCGGTCCGCGTGCCTCCTGCCACGGGGATCCTCCCGCCTGCTCGCGTTCCTTCTCTGTTGCACGATCAGAGGAAACCACAAGATGCTCGCTGTAGTCGCCACTTGGCTTCGGTCATCGTTGCGTTTTTTTATGCTTTGTTTTACGTAACCCCCCCCCCCCCACTTTTAAATTAAAGATTTAACAAAATTTGTTTCGCTCTGTTCTCCTTACCCCTTCCCTCTCTCTCTGTACCCCCTCTCTCTACCCCCCTCTCTGTACCCCCTCTCTCTCTGTACCCCTCTCTCTCTCTCTACCCCCTCTATCTCCACCCCTCTCTGTACCCCTCTCTCTCTCTGTACCCCTCTCTCTCTGTACCCCTCTCTCTCTCTCTCTACCCCCTCTATCTCCACCCCTCTCTGTACCCCTCTCTCTCTGTACCCCTCTCTCTCTCTGTTCCTCTCTCTCTGTACCCCTCTCTCTCTGTACCCCTCTCTCTCTGTCCCCCTCTCTCTCTACCCCCCTCTCTCTCTCTACCCCCTCTCTCTCTGTACCCCTCTCTCTCTGTACCTCTCTCTCTACCCCCTCTATCTCGACCCCCTCTCTCTCTCTGTACCCCTCTCGCTCTGCCCCCCCCCCCCTCTCTTCCTACTCCATGTCGCTCTCTCGCTCTCTTTTTATTTTATTTTTTTATTTTTCTCGTTCGCGTCCGCCGCTCTGGACTTGTGCGTCGACGGCTTGAGACGAGTTTCGGCCCGTTGCTATAGCCACGGTTTAACCTGACAATACCGTATATACATGATGGTATATCTATATATGTGTGTGTGTATAAACATTAACATAACATCGACCACATCGTAAATACTCCGCCCCTGTCCTTGAAAGGGAGGAATGGAAACCCTTGCTTCTGAACAAGCGATTGAGTGAATAAGAACTTCTACAATTGCACCTTCGATCTGCTGCTATTAATCAGTGCGAAGGAAAAAAGATCACAAAATAATACAAACGCTCCGAGTGAACGGTTATTTTTCATGACCTTGGTCTACTGGGCGCTGTCATAGGAATGTGGAATGGACAATTCAGGTTGATGTCAGTCTCGCCATACGACGCCGATGTTGACTCTCCCCGCAAAGTGGTAGGCTATTTATCGACCTGCGTGATTGTGACTGACCCAGTCGACCCCAGTGCACCTCCATCGTCGATATCAATGGAGGTGGACTCAGCACATTGTGATCACAACCACTGGTGTTCCACCGGTGACTTTACAACAATGTGGTACCCACTTTATCGACCTCTCCGGGATTATGGCTGTGATGGTGGGGTCAGGCGATTTCAATTCCAGAATCGGAATTTTTATATAGACTGGAGAAATCCGAAGAGCTATGAAGCTATTTTTCACACATGTACAGTTGTTTCACAGATGTCCAATTGATGCACAGATGTCCACAGATTCCGATGTGGAGTCGACTCAGATCATCGTCACCACCACCATATTCATCGTCGTCATCGTCACCACCATCGTCCACTGTTCACTCCCCACAAAGTGTTACTCGGTGTCCCAATAGACATTCCAACGTTCGGCCAACGTTCGCTGACAATCCGGCCATCGTGGAAGAGTAGGCCAAATACTCCTCTGTATGGGCTCTCTAGAGCTCCCTCTAACGAAGGCCCTTCTGCCAGCAGGGGCGTGAGCGAGCAGCTGCAGGGCTGCGCCTTTACAGCCACCACCACCATCATCACCGTGGCCCATCTCCCCTGCGAGACAGCGGTGAGCGTGAACCCGGTCTAACCCCTTTCTGTCGCCCTCCTGACCCTTTGTGCCGCCCACCGCCCAGAAGATGCTGACCGCTCGATCGCTCGTCACGATGGAGAAGCGCCCGAGCCAAAGTTCCTCGGGCCCTGAGTTGGGGCCCACGGGCAGCCCGCCCGTGACGGCGCCTGGGCCGAGGCTGCCGCCGGCCGACGGCGGCGACGGCTTCGACGGCGACGGTGACGGCGACGGTGACCGCGCGTTTGGCCGCGGTGTTGAAGGCGCCCGGTACAGCGGGCAAACGCTGCGCGGGCTGAGGCACGGACAAGGCAGGCTCGCGTGGCGAGATGGGCAGGTGAGCGAGCGAGCGAGCGTTGTTTGTAAACTAAAGCTAAACAACTTTTTACTTTGTTTCACCAGGTGTAAGTAAGGCCCCCACTGAGCCGCTACGGTGGCTTTTTTTCCAGAAGCGACCCGCCCACCGCAAACGAAAGTTCGGCGGAAGTGGATTGTCGCGTGGGAAATTCATAGCGGCGGCCAAAATACTCTTAAACGTGTGACGTTGATTCTAAATGTGGAGGGAGAAACGGGAGGAGCTGGAGAAAAATCCACGCGACCACGGGGAGAGAGAAAGACGCAAACTCAAAAAATATACAGCAGCAGCAGCAGCAGTCTCGGGATCGAACCCACGACCTCCTGCGTGCCAGGCGAGGTAGTGTAGCGGTGAGCGCGCTGCACTACGAACCCCGGCGGCCCGAGTTCGATTCTCGCTCACGGCCAAAACCGGCGACGATTATCTGAACCGGTCCAGGGCCCCTCCTAGGTCGACTCAGCCTCAAATGAGTACCCGGTGCGCTGTGTGTAAACATCGCCACTGGGGAGACAAAAGGAGCGGTGCTGGGCCACCCCTCCCGTGTGCCGCGCCGACCTTCATAGGTTCGGGATCGAACCCACGACCTCCCGCGTACCGGGCGAGGGAGTCGACATCTCCTAGCGAGAGGCTTTTGGGGTCCCGTGTCGTTGCAGTTGTACGTGGGCGAGTTCTTCCGAGACCACTGCCATGGGCTGGGCGAGCACGTGTGGCCTGATGGGTCGCGGTTCCTCGGGCACTTCTACCTCGGCAGGAGGGAGGGCTACGGATCATTCACGTTCCCGGACGGGAGCACTTTCCAGGTGACAGCCACTCTCCCCCTCTCTCTCCCTCTCTTCTCTCTCTTCTCTCTCGCCCTCCCTCTCTCTCTCTTCTCTCTCCCCCTCTCTCTCTCTCTCCCTCTCTCTCTCTTCTCTCTCCCCTCTCTTCTCTCTCTTCTCTCTCCCCCGCTCTCTGTCCCCTCTCTTCTCTCTCTTCTCTCTCCCCCCTCTCTTTCTCCTCTCTCTCTCCCCGCTCTCTCTCCCCTCTCTCTCCCTCCTCTCGCTACACTCTCTCTCCCCTCTCTTTCCCCCCTCTCTCTCCCCCCTCTCGCTATCTCTCCCCTCTCTCTCTCCCCGCTCCATCTCCCCTCTCTCTCCCCTCGCTCTCCTCTCTTTCTCTCCCCTCTCTCTTTTTTACGATCAGAGGAAACAAGAAGATGCTCGGTGTAGTTGGCACTTTGCTTCGTTCATCATTTCGTTTTTTTTAGTTTATTTCCTCGCTTTGCTTTATGTGCTCCTGCCCCTCCCCCCTTTTTAAACGAAAGATTTTCCATGTTTTACATTTTGAAACAAAATCTGTGCTACTTTCTTCGTAAACATAAACACCAACACGAAGAAGCACGCTCTGCTCCTCCTTACCCCTTCCCTATCTCTCTACCCCCTGTCTCTACCCGCTATCTCTCTACCCCCTATCTGTCTACCACCTATCTCTCTACCCCCTCTCTCTACCCCCTCTCTCTACCCCCTCTCTCTACCACCTATCTCTCTACCCCCTCTCTCTTTACCACCTATCTCTCTACCCCCTCTCTCTCTACCCCCTCTCTCTCTACCCCCTCTCTCTCTACCCCTCTCTCTCTCTACCACCTATCTCTCTACCCCCTCTCTCTCTACCACCTATCTCTCTACCCCCTATCTCTACCCCCTATCTCTACCCCCTATCTCTACCCCCTCTCTCTACCCCCTCTCTCTCTACCACCTATCTCTACCCCCTCTCTCTACCCCCTCTCTCTCTACCCCCTCTCTCTCTACCACCTATCTCTCTACCACCTATCTCTCTACCCCCTCTCTCTCTACCCCCTATCTCTCTACCCCCTCTCTCTATCCCCTATCTCTCTACCCCCTATCTCTCTACCACCTATCTCTCTACCCCCTCTCTCTACCCCCTATCTCTCTACCCCCTATCTCTCTACCCCTCTCTCTCTACCACCTATCTCTATACCCCCTATCTCTCTACCCCCTCTCTCTCTACCACCTATCTCTCTACCCCCTATCTCTCTACCACCTATCTCTCTACCCCCTATCTCTCTACCACCTATCTCTCTACCCCCTATCTCTCTACCCCCTATCTCTCTACCCCCTGTCTCTACACCCCCTCTCTCTCTACCCCCTCTCTCTCTATCCCCTCCCTCCCTCTCCCCTCTCCTCTCTCTATCCCCTCCCTCCCTCTCCACCGCGTATGCTGCCAGTTTAATTTGTTTGCTTTCTGTGTTTAGTTTGTGTTGTCCCCCCCCCCTCGCAACCTCCGATTAGCACGGTTGGCCACGTACGGTGCGAACGAAGTTCAACATAGTACATACATACAGTACGGCGCGTACATAACACCACCACCACCCCCTGAGTCATTAGTTCACGAAACCTGTGAACTCGTTCGTATCGACCCGAACATGACCCACGTGTCGTGGCCTTCGTTCAGACGTTGTCGCCCCTGGCCTCTAGGGGGCCACGCGCTCAGCAGCCGGTGATGACGGAAGGGAGAGAGGTAGGGAGGGAGAGAGGCAGTCCGGCCAGCGGCCTGGGCATCTTCCGCGCTCTGGTCGGAGCCAGGGTGTGGCGTGGGCCGGAGTTCCGGCGTGCGGCGCGGCTGAGCCACGCCGTGCCGGCCTTCAAGGAGCAGTGGGCAGCTGGAGGAGGCCGCTGGAGGAGGCCGCGTGCTCGGTGGCAGTAGCCGGAGAGCTCCGCGTGGAGATACCCGGCGGAGGCCGTAGGACTGCGAGGAGCGCTGGGTGCAGATGCAGCACTTGTCGTAGATTTGGCCTCACACGAGTACCTGTGTGTAGTCAACATCATCACTTTGGGGAGACAAAGGCGGCCGGGCGTGGTGCTGGCCACCCACCCATTTGTGTGCCGCAGTGCCGGCCTTCATAGGTGCTGCTCGCTAACAGCACTTGCCCCAACAGCCTGTTAAGGCTATAAGGGGGATCTTTGTCTTTGTGTGCATATGTTCGTGTTTACCGTATGTATATGTTAGTGTGTGTGTGTTAGTGGGGGGAGCGGTGGTGTAGTGGTTAGCGCGCTCCGCTACGAACCTGGCGACCCGGGTTCGATTCCCGCTCACGGCCACCACCAGTGACGATTATCTGAACAGGTCCTGGGCCTCTCCTAGGTCGACTCAGCCTCAAATGAGTACCTGGTGCGGTGTGTAAAAACATTTCCTCTGGGGAGACAAAGACGGCCGGGCGTGGTGCTGGCCACCCCCCCCCACCCCCTCGTGTGCCACAGTGCCGGTAGCCTTCATTGGTGCTGCTCGCTAGCAGCACTTGCCCCAGCAGCGTGTTAAGGCTATACGAGGTGGGAGTGCATCTTTGTCTCTGTGGCGCGGGATGTTTGGGGCGCGCGTCGCTGGGGTTTAGCGTTGCCCCGCTGCCGGAGTGAAAGGTCGTGCACGCGTGCCGAGACAAACATTGGCCCAAGCGCGCCGCTGTGATGATGACGACGATGCTGATGATGAACGCGCCACGCCCGCCCTCCCCTGGCCCCCGGTTCGTGCTGGGTTATAGACTCGCTCAGACTCGCCCTCCGTATGGAAACTAAACAAACAAAACTCAACAACAATTTGTTGTTATTTAAATGGGACCTTTTTTGACAGTAGCATAGTATGAAAACATAGGAATAGGTGTTACCCTTTCTGGAAATAAAACAGGTGTTAAGATGTTCAAACACCAAATATAAGCCTCGTAATAAATGTTTTTGGGTTAGATGGCGTCAGCATTAATGTGTCGATGTAACTACTTCAGCCCACCGCTGTGTTGAGTGAATCCAGCGAAACGCCGCACTACTCATATTGTAAACGTTGTGGATTCACTCTTCAACACGCCGGTGGGCTGAAGTAGTGAACTATTTGGCGTTTTGTTTACGTGACAAATCCCTTACTGATTGGCCGTGTCAGGTGGTGGAGGGTTTCGACACATTTATAAATAACGCGATCTAACCCAAAAAAAACTTTATTACGAATAATATTGGTCGCGAAAGCCTTACGTGTTAAACGAAATATAAACCTTTTGCAATGAATCCTGAACAGTGCAAAGACAATGCACTATCAGCACATTTATAGTTCTGTGTGAGCATTTGGGTGTTGTCTGGTTTACACTGGTGGTGAGACAGGGCCCTCAAGAAGGCTGTCTCTGTCGTAGACCAATCAGTTTCAAAGACAATTCCATATATTATCAGAACGTGCTTTGTTTGCATGCTCACAAGTAACGCGATTTTGGACGATTTTTGATCCTCCCCCCCTCGTCACACGGCGTGACAAAAAGTCAGACCCCCCCCCTCAAATATGACGTCACAGCTCTGCCCCCCCCCTCCAAAACCATATTTCCATTTTGAAAATAAAACTTGCTTCAAATCGCTTTAAACTATTGTTGTCATTGTAGTGCGTATTTAATGCGGCGCTGCACTCTGATGTTGCAGGAGAAAACATTTATTAAAAAGTCTATTTAATTAAGTAGAACGTGTTGTCTATATTTATTTAAAGTTGCGCATTTTGATGTGACGTCACATTTCTCAAACCCCCCTCCTCGTCACACATCTTCACAAATGTCTGACCCCCCCCCCCCACCACCCACCCTAGGTGCGTGACGTCATTTATGGACGGCCCCTAAAGATCGTCAACGTTCAAACGACTGACTAATGATTTGAAGCTGAAGTAATTCACCTTTTCGGGGGAACTCGCCAATAAGACCTTGCCGCGTGTTGGGATGACTGCTGAGGCGGTGGTTGGAGGCGTTGCCGTCGTCGCACTGCAGGGCCACCGCGATGCTGTCGCTGATGACGACGCAGCCTCCCGCGTGGCTTCCCGCTTGACGACCTCGCGGCGCGCGGTGGACAAAAAAAAAACATTCGTTCACGCGAAAAAATTCGATTTCGGTCATGGAAAAGCGTCCACGATTTGTCAGCTGCGTGACACGCGGAATGTCGTGGGCCGAACGTGTCGTTAGATCGAGGGATTCCCTGAAGTCCTCAACCTAGGGACGGCTGTGACTCGGCACCGTCTGGTATCGGCGCGAGCTTTCGTTCGGCGATCGCGACGCCGGAACGCGCCGCGAGGTTTCGCATGGACGATGCGCCGGCTATGCCGCCGCCGCTGCCGCCGCCGCCGTGGCTATGTGCGCGATCCCAATTGAGTCACTTGCGGGTAATTTTTCTAACCATAGGTGGTTTGCTCACAAGCACTCGCCCCCAACAGCCTGTATTGTCCATACGGGGGGGGGGGGGGGGGGGTGGGGGGAATTATTTTACTTTGCGCCGTTTGCCGCGGTGCCTCTTGCAGGGTTTGTACGCGAGCGACCGGCGTTTTGGACCCGGCGTTCGGAGTTACGGGGACGGACGTCAGGACGCGGGGATCTGGCTGGGGGAGAGGCTCGTAAAGCTGTGCGTTCACCTGCCGAACGTCGCTCCCGCGGTCTGGCCCCCGGAGGAAGTGACATCGCCGGCGGGCGCCAACCCGCGGGAAGCGACGTCACGGGAGCCCGCGGCGACCGTGGAACCTTCCGGCGCGAGGGCGGGGAAGTCGGATCGCGAGCAGCGGAGCGAACTGGCGCAGCGGGAAGCGGCGTCGCACGCGGCCACACGGGAAGCCGGGCCGGCCGGGGACGTGCCGCCGAACGCCGAACTCTCCGACACACGACCGGTGTGCTGAACTAGTGACGAATCGGCACGTTTTGTTTACGCGATGCCAACTTGCTGATTGGCCGCGTCGGGCGGTGGCGGGTTTGAATGACGCATTTACATATTTACGCGATCCAACCCAAATAACTCCTTCCGCTGTGGAGGCCTACCTCGTCGGTGGCCTCAGCACGGCCACCGACGGCTGCACGAGAGCAAGCAGCGTCACATGTCGACTCGATTCTGCACTTAATCTGAATTCCAGCTCCGGGGCGATGCAGGCGCCGGCAGGCCGTGGGGCGCGCGAGAGGCGCCGTCTCCGCCGCGCGGCGGCGCCGACGCTTCCGGGGGGATGGCCCCCGTGATCGTCGCTCTCTGCAGAAGAGAGCCTCGTAGCTTGCCGGATCTCTCCGGGACGGACGACGACTCCGACGATGACGACGACTCGGCCCGGCCCGACGGGGGAGCGGCGCCCTCGCCGGGCACCGTGCGGAGCAGCGGCGGCGGGTTCGGCGTAGCGCTGATGAAGCAGGTAATGACGAAGCGGAGCGCCACGGTGGCCAGATGTTAACTACCTCGCCTGGTACGAAGGAGGTCGTGGGCTGGATCCCGACCCCTGACGCCTGCTGTTTTATTTGCAGCTTGCGGTGTCTCTCTCTCTCCCCTCCACACTTAGAATCAACAACAAGACGCGTTTAGAGCATTGGGCTGCACGACGATGAGGCTGCTGTAGGTTCCCCACGTGACGGGCCACTTTGTTGAGCTCTCATTTGTGATAGCCACAGCGCTGCTGAACAAGAGCTACATACAGCTCAGTGGGCCTTGCCTGGTTTAAATAAAATAAAAATACATATAGTTAAAAATAGTTAGTTGTGATTGCTGCATCACCCCGCAGCCGTGTAGGTATAAGCGCGTTACGCGAAATGATACGTGAAGGCACAGCGGCGTTCACACCAAAAAAAACGCATTTTGAAACGCTGTCAGCAACTGCCCAAGCTCTGTGATCCTATAATTGGAATGTTTAGCAGCTCCCATAAACTGTTGTTACGCTCATGACAATGCAACAGATGGTGCGCGTGACGAACTGTTTACGTGTCGGCCACAGACCCCTGTGGGCTGAGAGTTGTGCGGCACACAGTGATCTCTGCGTGATCCATCAACTCCAAATCCAAACCGCCGGCTTGCGCGTGTGTGCCACCACCACCTCTCTTGGTGGCGGTGGGGAGCGGTGGCGCAGCGGTTAGCACGCTGCACTACGAACCCGGCGACCTAGCCACGGTCACCAACACCTTTGACGATCGTCTGAACCGGTCCTGGGCCTCCCCTAGGTCGACTCAGCCTCAAATGAGTACCTGGTGCGGTGTGCAAACATCGCAGCTGGGGAGACAAAGGCGGTCCTTCGCAGGTGCCGCTCACTAACGGCGCTCGCCCCGGCGGTCTGCCGAGGCTTCAACGGGGGGGGGGGGGACCGTTTTGTATTTCGTCACCCGCGCAGGTGCAGAGCGACCCGCTGGGCTACCGCTTCCAGCAGGTGGCGCTGCACGACGGCGTGGTGTTGCCGCCCGGCATGGAGCGCTACTCCACCGACACGCAGCACCTGCCGCTCACCGCCAGCTACCTCGCCGCGTGTGACGCGCGGTTCTTCAGAGGTGCGAACGGGCGCCTTCCGCTTCCGACTCCACATCTCCTAGCCACCGTGGTGGCTAGGAGATGTTGACTCCCTCGCAAGGTGCGCAGGAGGTCGTGGGTTCGATCCCGACCCTGACGCCTGCTGTACATCTGGAGCTTGCGGTGTCTCGCTCTCTCATCATCATCATCATCATCACGGTGGCTAGGAGATGTTGACTCCCTCGCCTGGTACGCAGGAGGTCGTGGGTTCGATCCCGACCCTGACGCCTGCTGTACATCTGGAGATTGCGGTGTCTCGCTCTCTCATCATCATCACGGTGGCTAGGAGATGTTGACTCCCTCGCCTGGTACGCAGGAGGTCGTGGGTTCGATCCCGACCCTGACGCCTGCTGTACATCTGGAGCTTGCGGTGTCTCTCTCTCTCCCCGTGGTCACGTGGATTTTCCTCCAGGTCCTCCAGGTTTTTCCCTCCACATTTAGAATCGACATCACGCGCTTCAGAGTATTTGGCTGTTGCTATACATTTCCACGTGGTGATGATGATGATGATGATAAGCCGCCGCTTCGTCGAGAAATCATTTGTGATGGCCCGGGGGTCGCTTCTGAGAAAGAACTGCACAGCAGCTCCATGTGCCAATTCGTGACTAGTTCAGCACACCGGTTGTGTGCTGGTGAGTAAACCCACGACAACATTTTACCATTCGAGTACCGTGACGTGTCGCCAGTAATTACAACCAGCATCATCAGGCTGCAGCCAGAGTTGTGGATAAATCCTCCTCCTTTTTCGGTCTTTAATAGAGGTGGAGGTGAATGTATCCAGATAAATTACAATGGATGTCTGTTATTGGTTGGGTTATTCGCAGTTAATCAATATACATTATGTATGTACGTAATGTGTGTATATTATGCACATTACGTGTGTACATCCTTCCGTTTTTGGAACCCAAAAATTGGTAGACTCGAGAGCGCGGTTGTTGCTGTCAAGAAATAACCACGATGCAATGCGGCAGACCCCACTCCGCTGGGCACTGAGACAGATGCGTGGACAACCTCTACGAAAGATCGCAAATCACGCAAAAACCTATCACTGGACAAACGTAAAAAGCGCAAACGCCTCCGCACGCGACATCATTGCCCCGCCGCGCTCCCCGCGTCGGCCGCATGCCTGACCCCCCCCCCCACCCCCCACCCCCGTCGCCGCAGCAGCAGCAGCTCGAGAGGCGGCCGGGCTCCACGCGGGCAGCTGCTGGCGGGACCGCCACCTCCCGGTCCGAGCGTGGCTGAGGACGCACGCACGGGCACACGGGTAACACACACACGCTCGCAAGCACTCACGCATGCCAACGTCCCTCCTGCCGCCCCTGCCGCCCCCACCACCCTCCGAACCCCCCGCCCCTACCCCCGCCCGCCCCCACCCCCGCCACCACCCCCGCCACCACCCCTGCCCCCCCGCCCGCCCGCCTGCGGTGGCAGCTGGGCTGGGGGGAATGGCGGCGCCTGGGAATATGGAGCCGTTGAATCGCTTCGTGTGAATCGGATTCGGTTCTGCGTTTTTCTCCCCACCTGCCCACCGCTACTCTGCGCGGGGTTTTCCTCCAGGCTCTCCACTTTCTTCTCATAGCTAACACAACCCCCGCAGTGTGAGTGGCACCGGGGCCAAAATTACATCCCAACGCTGGGAATCACTCGGTTTGGATCGCACGGCAGCACCGGCAACAGAGGCGGCATCGCCCCCTGCGGTGAACAGCTGGCAGGACCCTCCTGAAAAGGAGTCGTGAGACTCGGTGAGGTTCTCCTGGGTGAACACGCGGATCAATAATAAATCATACTAGTCGTTGCGTCGTGAGATCGTGAGAGGTGGCGGCCTTCATCCGGCAGTGGATGGACCGCGGCCGGCGGCGGTGACGTCGCTCCCCGCGGCCGGCGGCGGTGACGACGCTGAGCTCTGTCGCCGCAGGGACGAGCGCTTCGCGCTCGATTGCCGTGCGGGCGACATCCTGGAGGGCCGCCGCGTGGGGTTCGGCCCACGGGGCCCCCTGGAGGAGGCCTCGGAGCGCCTGCTGGCGGCGGCCGCCAGGGGCGACGGCGCCCGGGCCCTCGGCCCGCCGCTCACCCACCCCGACGTCGCAGACGCGCGCGGGCGCACGGCGCTGCACGTCGCTGCGGTGAGAGGGCCGAACCGGAGCTGGGCGATTGGTCGCGCGCGACTCGGCTGCAACTCGGTTGCGTGCGACTCAGTTGTGCGCAACTCGGTTGCAACTCGGTTGCGTGCGACTGAGTTGTGCGCAACTTAACCGCTCAAAGCCTCGCCACCGCACTTGAGCAAGTCGATTCCACGCGACCGAATCACTGACGCAGGGTCCACCAACTTGGCTGCATGCAGAATCTCAAAAGTCGGGTCCCCACGCCTGAGCAATCACTTGAGCAGGTCGGTTGCATGCAAAACAAAACGCGAGTCATAGAGGCGATGGGATAACGTGGTGCGGGAGGATGTGGGGCTGAGTGGATGTGCCGATGACGGTCAAAGTCGGCCTCTGTGGAGGAGGTTCGTGAGGGACGCTACTGGGGAGTCGGAGGCAGTCATCCTCCAGCAACAACGGAGGGCGGAGGAGCGATGCACCTCCGATTAGCACGGTTGGCTGCTTACTGCGCGAAAGAAGTTCAACGTGGATACGTACATACGAGCGGAGGGCCGGGCAGATAAAACGCAGCAAGGTGGCACAACAGGGGGCAGAGTGGGTGCATCTGCCAGTCATCTCAGTGAGTTAAATCATAACACCTGGGTTTGTGCCATAACCTCCTCCTGCACCTAGCCTGGCACAGCAGGCAACACGATAGCACCTTGGGTGCCATGACCTCCTGCCAGCGAGCCTTGCTTGGACACTTCACGCGATGGCTTTTTAGTGGACCTAGCCTGGTACGTACAAGCGCCGTGGTGAATGACCGCAGCTATCGCGCTTTTGTTGCGTGTGGCGTGCCGTTGTGCTGATGCGGTGCTGCCCCCGTTTGCAGGTGAATTGCCAAGAAGACACAATTCACCTGCTGCTGGACTGGGGCGCCGATGTGAATGCGTTGACGGACGATGGAATTTCTCCACTGCTTGCTTGCCTCATGCTGTACTATGCACAGGTAGGAGACGCGCGCGCGTGTGTGTGCGTGTGTGTGTAGCAGTGCTGCTCGCTAACAGCACTTGCCCCTACAGTCTGTTACAGACTATTTTGGGGATCATTGTCATTGTAGCAGTGAGCGCGCTGCGCTACGAACCAGGAGACCCGAGTCCAGTTCCCGCTCGCCGCCAACACCGGTGACGATTATTTGAACTGGTCCTGGGCCTCCCCTAGGTGGACTCAGCCTCAACTGAGCACCTGGTGCGGTGTGTAAACATCGTCACTCCGGAGACAAAGGCTGCCGGGCGTGGTGCTGGCCGCCCATGCTCTTGTCTGCTGTTATGGCCTTAACAGGTGCTCGCTAACAGCACTTGCCCCAACAGTCTGTTAAGGCTGTACAGGGGATCTTTGTCTTTGTGAGTGGCAGTACTGAATTAGCTAAATAAATAGATCTGTAGTGACTGACTCAGAGAAACTGATAGCAGGAAGCACTTTAATTATTAACAGCCTTCACAGTCCACACAAAGTAACTCCAGCTCTCAGTGGGGACAGCTGGCAGACTGCCGACTGACGACGCCGAGCAGGTGAAGACGTAGATGGCGGCGAAGACTCCAGCAGCATGACGTGATCTCACTCCAAGCGACAGCCCCGAGCTCCCGCCCGGGGTCCCCTTTTATCCTCCCAGCGTGGCCTCGCTCCGCCCCAGCCACGCCCCCTTTCTAGAACCTACTAGCGGATTCCCGGGGTTCCCTCACGTGCCCCTCCAGTAACCTTTCCCCTACCTCCCTCTCTCTGGCCTATCACGTGACCTGCTGTCAGTCAGGGCTGCTGCAACTGCAGATCCCCTTCTCTGCCAGCAACAAGCGCTATGCTGCTAAGTGACCGATTCTATGTCACGACACATCCATCCAGTTGCATGACTATTGAGTGTGCAGGTTACATAGAGACCCATACAGCTTCTTAGAATTAATTTTGTTATTCAGAATTTGGACTGGAAGAATCTGATGAGCTATGAAGCGCTCTTTCACAGATGTCCAGTAGGGACGGGTCAGCCCAGTAGGGATGGGTCAGCCCAGTAAGGATGGGTCAGCCCAGTAAGGATGGGTCAGCTCAGTAGGGATGGGTCAGCCCAGTAGGGATGGGTCAGCCCAGTAAGGATGGGTCAGCCCAGTAGGGATGGGTCAGCCCAGTAAGAATGGGTCAGCCCAGTAGGGATGGGTCAGCCCAGTAAGGATGGGTCAGCCCAGTAGGGATGGGTCAGCCCAGAAGGGACGGGTCAGCCCAGTAGGGACGGGTCAGCCCAGTAGGGACGGGTCAGCCCAGTAGGGACGGGTCAGCCCAGTAGGGACGGGTCAGCCCAGTAGGGACGGGTCAGCCCAGTAGGGACGGGTCAGCCCAGTAGGGACGGGTCAGCCCAGTAGGGATGGGTCAGCCCAGTAAGGATGGGTCAGCCCAGTAGGGATGGGTCAGCCCAGTAGGGACGGGTCAGCCCAGTAGGGACGGGTCAGCCCAGTAGGGATGGGTCAGCCCAGAAGGGACGGGTCAGCCCAGTAGGGACGGGTCAGCCTAGTAGGGATGGGTCAGCCCCGTAAGGGCAAAACAACAACAACCACAATAATAATAATAATAATAACAAGCGCACAGCGTTCAGAGATGGGTTTGGCTCCACTCCGCGTTGGTACGCCGCCGGGACGTCACCGCCCGCGTCCCCGCGGTGTCTTCCCAGGAGCCACCGGCCCAGGGAGCAGTCGGCGGTCGCGCGGAGACGCCAGAGGCCGACGGTGCCGCGGCGTCTCGGTGCGACGGGACCCCCCCGACCGAGAGCGGCCGCCAGTGGCCCCCCACCCGGGAATCCCCATCGGACAGCGGCGTCGACGTGAGGGACCGCGCGTCGGCGTTGTGCGAGGAGCCGCCGCGACGTGGCCGCTGTCATCGGCCAATGGCGGCGTCGGTAAAGAAGCACGCGCACGGCGCGATGTGATTGGTCGTTAAAAATAAAACGCAACGCCACGCCACAGTGTGGAGCTGCGATGTGATTGGTCATTTAAAAGTGTTTCCCACTCGCAGGCGTGGCTTTTCTCTGGTTTCCTTCCACGTGTAAACATTCATTAATTCGTCAATAACGCATTGTCGGTCCATCACCCCCTCGTCTCTCTGCTACCTCTACTATCACTCATCGCTCCGGCCACTCTCACAGACCGCCGGTCCATCTCCCTCGTGGTTTTTCTCTGCTACCCCACACCCGTCGAACTCGCTACCCGACCCACTGCTGCTCCATGGCCTCCCGGCCTCGCCGCTCGCTCCCCCGTGCGCCGCGCGCCGCCTAAACGCGCGCCGCTCACCGTCCCCACCCGAGCGCGGGCCAGGCAAGGCGATGGCGCCTTCGGCGGAGGGACGACCGCTTGACCCCGAGCGCTCGGGATGGACCGGTCACGGGCCCTCGGGTGCACGCGGCGAGGACGAGGAGGAGGAGGACGACGAGGAGGAGGAGGACGAGGAGGAGGGACATTCTACGAGCTCCGAGTTCCGCTCCACCGCTACGCTGCGCGCGTTCGCCATCGCCGTCTCCGACAAGGAGCTGGAGCTGAGCGCCGAGGCCCTGAGCAGGCTCCGCCGTGACGAGGGGGCGGCTCGTGACGGCCGGCGCGGTGGTGAGAATCGCGGCGGTGGCGGCGGCGGCGGCGGCTGCAGCGATGGAGGAGGAGCAGACGAGGAGGAGGAGGAGGAGGAGGGGGGCGAAGGAAGGGCAAGGAAGCTGGCCACCCTCAAACACAAGTGAGTGTCGCAGACGAGTCTCTCAATCTCTCGATGACGGCGGAGACGACAAGACACTCGTCCTGAGACGAAGGTGGTGATGACGATCCGCACACGAGGTGATTTGTGGAGGGTTGAGGACCAGGCCTCCCGTCATGCCGTGCGCGAGTAGCGTGCGCACAGGCGACCCAACTCGAGAGTCTAGAAGCGGAGAGCGGAGGTCAACGGGGTGAGCGGGGGGGGGCAGGGGGGAGCAGGGGGGCAGGGGGGACACTCACCCACTCAGTAACCCACCCATCTACACACTCACCCACTCATTCACCCACTCACCCACGCATTTACCCACTCACCCATGCATTCATCCACTCACCCACTCATTCACCCAATCACCCACGCATTCATCCACTCAACAACAACCGCCATTCGCCACTAAGTGGCGGTGACGTCACCACGGCTCTTGTGCCAGGCCATGTGCACCTTGAGGCCACGTGAAGTGTCGAACACCCGATGACAGGAGGTCATGGGGCAGACCCAGGTGCCACGGGTCGACTGAGATGACCGAGATGACTGGCTGATGCACCACCTGTGCCCCCTACTCTGACAACCTGCTGTGCTTTAGCCACCTGGCGTTCTGCGCGTGTTTTGAGCATCGCTCCTCCGCCCTCCGTTGTTGTTGGAGGGCGACTGCCTCCAACTGCCCAGTAGCGTCCTTCACAAGCCTCCTCCACAGAGGTCGATCTTGACACCGCTGGTACCAGTCATCGGCAAGTCCACTCAGCTCCACGTCCTCCTGTACCACATCACTCCATCTCTTCTCTAGCCCGTGCCGCACCCATTTAGCCCTCTCTATCCGGCCGAACAAAATCTGTTTAGGCATGCGGTGGCTGGGCATGCAGGCTATATGACCCAGCCAACACAGCCTTGCCTGCCGGAGGAGCTCACCAGATTTGTGAGTTCCTCACACAATCCAGCCTGGTTAAGCCTAAATATTTCTAACCGGTGAAGATGTTCCATTAGGGGGGTCCATGTTTCGCAAGTGTAGAGTAGGGAGGGCATGACTGTGGCCGAGAAGACCTGGAGCTTCGTGTGGAGCGACAGACCAGGTAGCTTCCACACAGCGTTATGCAACCGATGAAAAGATAATGCCGCTCGACTGATTCGGAGTGAGACATCTGCTGTCATGAGCACACTGCCCAGGTATGGGGAACTCTCCACTCTCTCCACAACTACCCCATCACTAATTGGGAGTTGTGGGGGTGGAGTGTCTGATGGTACAAAATACCCAGGCAGGTGCTTAGTTTTGGTGAGGCTGATGGTAAGGCCCCACCTCTGAGTGGCACGCTCCAGGTTCAGCAGCAGCGCCTCCAACTCCTCCTCTGAGTGAGAAGCAATCACCAGATCATCGACATACATAACATGGTTGACCAATAGGAAGCCATCCCTTGCCCGCACCCGGGCATCGATCAGCCTCCCATTGTATCTGTACGTGGTCGAAAGAGATGTTAAATAATGTGGGAGCCAGAGGACATCCCTGTCGCACTCCAAGGTGAACAGGAAATGGCTCCGACTCCCGGCCACGTAGTTTTACCTGGGCCAGCTCACCATCATGAAGGTCCTTAAAGATTGTGAGCAAAGAGTCAGGGACTCCAAAAGCACGAATAACCCAGAGCCCAGGCCTACTGATGGTATCATAGGCCTTGACCAGGTTAATTAAGCAGAGATGTAGGCTTTGTTGGCATTCCCTACACCTCTGCTGTAGCAGACGGACAGTAAATATGGCATCTGTGCAGGACCGCCCTTTCCTGAAACCACATTGGGGCTCTGCAAGCCTCTCTTCAGCGTGCCTGGCAAGGCGATGTTGAATAATCCTTGCCAGGACCTTTCCCGGCACACTGAGGAGTGAGATGCCCCTGTAGTTGTTAGTCTGTGCGGTCCCCCTTCTTAAAGAATGGGACCACCAGGGCATCCTTCCAATCCTGCGGAACCCGTCCAGTGGTCCAGACTGTTATTATGATGTCATAGGGCAGTATGTGCACAAATGCCACCCTCCCTCAGCATTTCGCTTGGGATATCTCTGCCCGGTGCCTTTCCTGGTCTCAGACTCTGGATCGCCTTCAGCACTTCCTCAACAGATGGCACCTCAGCCAGCCACTCAACGGGGGTGACTTCCTCCAATATTTGAGGCACCGCAGCCTCAGCAGGGTCATCCCCACTTTGCCCAATGATGTGTTCCAGGCTGAGGGATTTTCCATCCCCCAAGACCTCACAGAAATGCTCGGCAAATCTGCAAACCTGTTCCTGGGGGTCGGAGATTGGATTATCTTTCTTTCCCCTAATGATGGTGATAGGTGTGGCACCACAAGTTACTTTTTTGATGGAATTAAATAGAGATTTGTGATCACGGGCCACTGAGGCAGATTCATTCTCCTCAGCAACACGCTACTACCACCCATCCTTGCAGTGCCTCACGGCTCTCCGAGCGAAGGCTGTGGTAAGCCTCATTCTCTGATGTGGGATGCTGCAGATGATGAGAGTGGGCCTATCGCTTTTTCTCAGCCAGCCTGAACACCTCCTCTGTCAGCCAGGGTCTCTGGGGAGGTCTGGACCGTGTACCCAAAGCAGCCATTGCAGCTGCATGAGTCACAGTCCTAAACCTCGCCCATTTACCCTCGACATTAGGAGGAGTGGGGGACGATGCCAACCCCAGCCGCAAGCGATGATTAAATTGTTGCTTGCAACTTTCTTCAGCTAGGTGAGACCAGGCTACTATGAGTTTGAATGGGATCCTGGGTGTACACCCACCACCGGAGTGGAAGAATGGCAGGTATATCTTACAGATGATAAGTCGATGGTCAGTGGGCAGATCAGTTGCACGGTAGGTCCTGGTGTCAAGGACATGAGCCCGCATCCACTGTTCTGTCACGATATAGTCCAGAAGATGTTCTTGCTTGGACCCGGCATGCATCCATGATGTTGTGTGGATGCGCCGATGCCGGAACAGCGTGTTGGTAATTACAAGCCCATGGGTTGCACAAAAGGCTAGCAGCCTCCTACCGTTGTTATTGAGCTGATCTGTCCCTTGTCTTCCAATCACTCCAGACCAGGTGCCAGCATCATGACCAACTCGGGCATTGAAGTCACCCAACAGCATGACTCTATCCCGAGGGGCCACTTTAGCTAGCACCTGTGACAGGAGGTCATAGAAGGCTTCTGATTCATCGGCCTTGCCTGCATCCCTCCACTGATGTTCATCTTCGGTGGGGGCATAAGTAACCACGACCACCACTCCTCGCCTCTGGTTGATGGGAAGGCGAGCCCAAGGTAGCCTGGGGCTTACAGCTTCCCACACCTAACCGCCACGCTCCCACGCCCTCTTCACCCACTCACCCGCTTATCCAGCCACTCACCCACTCATTCACCAACTTACCCACTCATTCATCCACTCACCAACTTATTCACCCACTCATTCACTCAGTCACCCACGCATTAATCAACTCATTCACCGACTCACCCACGCATTAATCCACTCATTCACCCACTTACTCACTCATTCATCCACTCACCCACGCAGTTATCCACTTATTCATCCATTCACCCACTCATTCAACCACTTACCCACTCATTCACCCACTCACTCATTCATTCACCTACCCATCTACACACTCACCCACTCACTCAACCACTCATTCATGCACTCACCCACTCTTTCACCCACTCACATACTCATTCACCCACTCACCCACTCATTCACCCACTCACCCACTCATTCACCCACTCATTCACCCAATCACCTACTCATTCACCCACCCACTCATTCACCCACCCACTCATTCACCCACCCACCCACCCACTCATTGACCCACCCACCCACTCATTGACCCACCCACCCACCCACTCATTGACCCACCCACCCGTTCACCCGTGCAGACGGCGCCGCCTCTGGGCCACGGCGCTGCTGCTGCTGGAGCGCGGCGCCGACCCCGGCGTGGGCGGCGTGGGCGGCGTGCCGTGCCTGCTGCTGGCGGCGAGCGCCGGGGACGTCCGCGCCCTGCGCCTGCTGCTGCAGCGAGGGGCGCCGCCTGACCAGCGCCTGCCAGCCGAGGTAGCCCACGCAGCACCCCGGTGACACCGTGACGGTGATGACGTCAGTGGTGAGCGTCACCGTGACGATGATGACGTCAGAAGTGAGCGTCACTGTGACAATGATGACGTCAGTGGTGAGCGTCACTGTGACAATGATGACGTCAGTGGTGAGCGTCACTGTGACGATGATGACGTCAGTGGTGAGCGTCACTGTGACGATGACGACGTTAGTGGTGAGCGTCACTGTGACGATGATGACGTTAGTGGTGAGCGTCACTGTGACGATGACGACGTTAGTGGTGAGCGTCACTGTGACAATGACGACGATGATGACGACGATGATGATGATGTGAGCGATGATGATGAGGACGATGATGATGATGATGACGATGATGATGACGATGATGATGACGATGATGATGACGATGATGATGATGATGATGTGAGCGATGATGATGAGGACGATGATGACGATGATGATGATGACGATGATGATGATGTGAGCGATGATGATGAGGACGATGATGATGATGATGATGTGAGCGATGATGATGATGATGATGTGAGCGATGGCGACGCCGGTGCAGCAGGGCGGTTTCCCCGCCCTGCTGGTGGCCGCTGGCACGCCGGGGCCCCGCGGGGTCAAGATGGTCTCCCTGCTGCTGCACGCCGCGGCCGACCCGGACGTGCGTGCGCCCCACACGGAGGCCTCCTTCTTCCCTCCCGACCAGGTGAGGGACCTGGGTTCGAGCCGGCGCCGTGGCGCCGTTCCCCACGCCGCTTGTTCGTCTCTTGTTATTGTTTTGACGCTTGTTTAACCAGATCGCGCTTGATAATGAGACTCCTTTGCCCTCATTCGTTCGCTCACCCATTCACTCACCAACTCACCCACTCACCCATTCATCCATCCGCCCGCTCGCCCGCTTGCCAATTCACCCACTCGCCCACATGCTCACTCGCCTACATGCCCACTCGCCTACTCACCCACTCATCCACTCGCGTACTCGCCCATTCACCCTCTCGCCCATTTGCCCTCTTGCCAATTCGCCCATTCGCCCACTCGCCCATTCACCCACTTGCCCATACGCCCACTCGCCTACTCACCCACTCGCCCACTCACCCACTCGCCCATTCACCCTCTCGCCCATTCACCCACTCGCCCATTCACCCTCTCGCCCACTCGCCTACTCACCCACTCATCCACTCGCGTACTCACCCACTCACCCACTCGCCCATTCACCCACTCGCCCATTCACCCACTCGCCCACTCACCTACTCATCCACTCATCCACTCACCCACTCATCCCCGCGTGGCCGCGCCGTGTGCAGGGAGCGGACCACGCGGTGTGTGGCACGGCGAGGAGCGACGCTGCCCAGGCAGGGTTCCCTTCCCAGCTCCACGGCCACCCCCAGCAGCCCCCTGCAGCGGGGGGACTTACAGCCCTGCACGTGGCTTGCCAGCGCTCCGACGACCCGCAGGTGCGTTGAGTGTGTGAGTGTCAGTGCATGTGTTTGTGTGTGTGAGTGTGTGTGTGCGTGTGAGTGTGTGAGTGTGTGCGAGTGGGTGTGTGCACGTGTGTGTGTGAGTGTGTGAGTGTGTGCGAGTGGGTGTGTGTGTGTGTGCACGTGTACGTGTGTGAGCGTTTAGTGTAGCGGCCACCCGAGTTTGATTCCCGCTCACACCCAACACCGGTGAAGATTTTCTGAACCGGTCCATGGGTCTCCCCGAGGTCGACTCAGCCTCAAATAAGCACCTGGTGCGGTGTGTAGTAAACATCGCTACCGGGGAGACAAAGGCGGCCGGGCGTGGTGCTGGCCACCCACCTCCTTGGGTGCCGTACCATTCATAGGTGCTCGCTAACAGAACTTGCCCCAACAGTCTAAGGCTGCACTGGGGATCTTTGTCCTTGGCGTCTGTGTGATGGTGATGATGGCGCTGCGTCTGTGTGTGTGTGATGGTGATGATGGCGCTGTGTGTGTGATGGTGATGATGCCGCTCTGTGTGTGTGATGGTGATGATGGCGCTGTGTGTGTGTGATGGTGATGATGCCGCTGTGTGATGGTGATGATGCCGCTGTGTGTGTGATGGTGATGATGGCGCTGCGTGTGTGTGATGGTGATGATGGCGCTGTGTGTGTGTGTGTGATGGTGATGATGGCGCTGCGTGATGGTGATGATGGCGCTGCGTGTGTGTGATGGTGATGATGGCGCTGTGTGATGGTGATGATGGCGCTGTGTGTGTGTGATGGTGATGATGGCGCTGCGTGCTGGTGATGATGGCGCTGCGTGATGGTGATGATGGCGCTGCGTGTGTGTGATGGTGATGATGGCGCTGTGTGATGGTGATGATGGCGCTGTGTCTGTGTGTGTGTGATGGTGATGATGCCGCTGTGTGTGTGTGTGTGATGGTGATGATGGCGCTGTGTGATGGTGATGATGGCGCTGCGTGTGTGTGATGGTGATGATGGCGCTGCGTGCTGGTGATGATGGCGCTGTGTGATGGTGATGATGGCGCTGTGTCTGTGTGTGTGTGATGGTGATGATGGCGCTGTGTGTGTGTGATGGTGATGATGGCGCTGTGTGATGGTGATGATGGCGCTGTGTGATGGTGATGATGGCGCTGTGTGTGCGTGATGGTGATGATGGCGCTGTGTGTGTGATGGTGATGATGGCGCTGTGTGTGATGGTGATGATGGCGCTGTGTGTGCGTGCTGGTGATGATGGCACTGTGTGTGATGGTGATGATGGCGCTGTGTGATGGTGATGATGGCGCTGTGTGATGGTGATGATGGCGCTGTGTGATGGTGATGATGCCACTCTGTGTGTGATGGTGATGATGGCGCTGTGTGATGGTGATGATGGCGCTGTGTGATGGTGATGATGGCGCTGTGTCTGTGTGTGTGTGATGGTGATGATGGCGCCGCTGTGTGCAGTGCGTGCAGGCCGTGGTGCGCCTGCTGCTGCGTCACGGCGCCAACGCTGACCCGGTGTGGGCCGGCCACTCGCCGCTGTCCCTGGCGGTCGCCTGCGGGAACCTCCCGGTGAGCTCCCCAGCGGCTCCCCAGCGGCTCGCCAACGCGAGTCGGCGCCGGCCTGCCAGCGGCCGCCCCGCGCAGCGCCGCCCGCGGCGGGGTCGACCGTTATCTTTGTGCGAGCGAGCGCAGGCGGTGGAGGAGCTGCTGAGCGCCGGCGCCGACCCGGACCTCGCGCTGCCGGGGCCCGTCGGCAGCGCCCTCTGCGCCGCCGCCAACCCCGGCTACGCCCACGGGGGACTCGACGCGGCGTCGCTCCTCGCGCTCGTGAGAGACCCGCACGGGAGCCTGCCTGGTCGGGCGCGGGGGTCGCCGAAACCCCTCGCCCTGCGCCGCCGGTGACCCCGTGACGCGGTCACGCGCCGGTGACGCGGCGTCACGCGGTTACCGGTTACCGTTGAGCGAACCCGAGCATCGAGCCCCGTTTGCCGCATCCCAGGCGATCGGAGCGCAAGCCGATGGCACAAACTGGCGACGCTCGCTAACCCAAGCGCGGGCAAGTGGGTTCGATCCGTACGGGGATCGAGCGTCACCCCCTAACCCCCCTTGCTTCCCTTGCGGCCTGTGGGTTTTCTCCGGTCGCAGTTGTTATGCCAAACATCCCAATGTAGAATCGCAGAGCTTGGGAAATTGTTGTTAGCGCCGGTTCTGGCCGCCTTCCCGGATTCCTGCAGCCTAAGTAAAGATTCCGATTCTGCCGTGGAGTTGTGAGCCACGGCCTCAGCGCGCGTTGCACCGTGTGTAGAGTAGAACTCCGCTTAAGGACCACACTTCTGTATGGCAGTGTAGTGTATCGTCGTGTAGTGTATAGTGTATAGTAGTGTAGTGTATAGTAGTGTAGTGTATAGTAGTGTAGTGTATAGTAGTGTAGTGTATAGTAGTGTAGTGTATAGTAGTGTAGTGTATAGTAGTGTATAGTAGTGTAGTGTGTAGTGTATAGTAGTGTGTAGTGTATAGTAGTGTATAGTAGTGTGGTGTATAGTAGTATAGTGCATAGTCGTGTAGTGTGTAGTGGTGTAGTGTATAGTAGTGTAGTGTGTTGTAGTCTGTAGTGTGTAGTGTATAGTAGTATAGTGTGTAGTGTATAGTAGTGTAGTGTATAGTAGTGTGGTGTATAGTAGTGTAGTGTATAGTAGTGTAGTGTATAGTAGTGTATAGTAGTATAGTGTATAGTAGTGTAGTGTATAGTGTGTAATGTAGTGTATAGTCGTGTAGTGTGTAGTGTATAGTAGTGTAGTGTATAGTGTATAGTAGTGTAGTGTGTAGTGTATGGCAGTGTAGTGTGTAGTGTATAGTAGTGTAGTGTATAGTAGTGTAGTGTGTAGTGTATAGCAGTGTAGTGTGTAGTGTATAGTAGTGTAGTGTATAGTAGGATAGTGTATAGTAGTGTAGTGTATAGTAGTGCAGTGTATAGTAGGATAGTGTATAGTAGTGTAGTGTATAGTAGTGGAGTGTATAGTAGTGGAGTGTATAGTAGTGTAGTGTATAGTCGTGTAGTGTGTAGTGTATAGTCGTGTAGCGTGTAGTGTATAGTAGTGTATAGTCGTGTAGTGTGTAGTGTATAGCAGTGTAGTGTGTCATGTATAGTAGTGTATAGCAGTGTAGTGTATAGTAGTGTGGTGTATAGTAGTATAGTGCATAGTCGTGTAGTGGTGTAGTGTATAGTAGTGTAGTGTATAGTAGTGTAGTGTGTAGTGTATGGCAGTGTAGTGTGTAGTGTATAGTAGTGTAGTGTATAGTAGTGTAGTGTGTAGTGTATAGCAGTGTAGTGTGTAGTGTATAGTAGTGTAGTGTATAGTAGGATAGTGTATAGTAGTGTAGTGTATAGTAGTGCAGTGTATAGTAGGATAGTGTATAGTAGTGTAGTGTATAGTAGTGGAGTGTATAGTAGTGGAGTGTATAGTAGTGTAGTGTATAGTCGTGTAGTGTGTAGTGTATAGTCGTGTAGCGTGTAGTGTATAGTAGTGTATAGTCGTGTAGTGTGTAGTGTATAGCAGTGTAGTGTGTCATGTATAGTAGTGTATAGCAGTGTAGTGTATAGTAGTGTGGTGTATAGTAGTATAGTGCATAGTCGTGTAGTGGTGTAGTGTATAGTAGTGTAGTGTATAGTAGTGTAGTGTGTTGTAGTGTAGTGTATAGTAGTGTAGTGTATAGTAGTGTAGTGTATAGTAGTGTAGTGTATAGCAGTGCAGTGTATAGTATGATAGTGTATAGTAGTGTAGTGTATAGTAGTGTATTGTGTAGTGTGGTGTATAGTAGTGTAGTGTGTAGTGTATAGTAGTATAGTGTATAGTAGTATAGTGTATAGTAGTGTAGTGTATAGTAGTATAGTGTATAGTGTAGTGTATAGTATAGTGTATAGTAGTGTATAGTGTAGTGTATAGTAGTGTATAGTGTAGTGTATAGTAGTATAGTGTAGTGTCTCCAGAGAGCCCAATGTGTTCGCTTACTGACCGTTCCCCTGCTAGACAGGCTGTTGTAGGTGCAGTAAATAAAGTAGTACTCGCGGTTGTGCGGGGATGCCAGTGGAACGAATTAATCCTTTATCGTGCACTCCCTACACTCGCTGAACGACCAAATCACTGAACGACGGGTTTCGTGTTAAGAGGGCTTCTACCGTAGCTGGCGCTCGGTCGTGTAGTGTGTAGTGTATAGTAGTGTAGTGTGTAGTGTATAGTAGTGTAGTGTGTAGTGTATAGCAGTGTAGTGTGTAGTGTATAGTAGTGTAGTGTATAGTAGGATAGTGTATAGTAGTGGAGTGTATAGTAGTGCAGTGTATAGTAGGATAGTGTATAGTAGTGTAGTGTATAGTAGTGGAGTGTATAGTAGTGGAGTGTATAGTAGTGTAGTGTATAGTCGTGTAGTGTGTAGTGTATAGCAGTGTAGTGTGTAGTGTATAGTCGTGTAGCGTGTAGTGTATAGTAGTGTATAGTCGTGTAGTGTGTAGTGTATAGTAGTGTATAGCAGTGTAGTGTGTAGTGTATAGTAGTGTATAGCAGTGTAGTGTGTCATGTATAGTAGTGTATAGCAGTGTAGTGTATAGTAGTGTGGTGTATAGTAGTATAGTGCATAGTCGTGTAGTGTGTAGTGGTGTAGTGTATAGTAGTGTGGTGTATAGTAGTATAGTGCATAGTCGTGTAGTGTGTAGTGGTGTAGTGTATAGTAGTGTAGTGTGTTGTAGTGTAGTGTATAGTAGTGTAGTGTATAGTAGTGTAGTGTATAGTAGTGTAGTGTATAGCAGTGCAGTGTATAGTATGATAGTGTATAGTAGTGTAGTGTATAGTAGTGTAGTGTGTAGTGTGGTGTATAGTAGTGTAGTGTGTAGTGTATAGTAGTATAGTGTATAGTAGTATAGTGTATAGTAGTGTAGTGTATAGTAGTATAGTGTATAGTGTAGTGTATAGTAGTGTATAGTATAGTGTATAGTAGTGTAGTGTATAGTAGTGTATAGTGTAGTGTATAGTAGTGTATAGTAGTGTATAGTGTAGTGTATAGTAGTATAGTGTAGTGTCTCCATAGAGCCCAATGTGTTCGCTTACTGACCGTTCCCCTGCTAGACGGGCTGTTGTAGGTGCAGTAAACGAACGAATTAATCCTTTTATCCTTTATCGTGCACTCCCTACACTCGCTGAACGACCAAATCACTGAACGACGGGTTTCGTGTTAAGAGGGCTTCTACCGTAGCGGGCGCTCGGTCGTGTCCCGTGCAGGTGGACCGGCTCATCGCGGCCGGCGCCAGCGTCCTGTCGCCCATCCACGTGCACGACGGCGCCAGGCTGGCGGTCGGCACCGTCGTCGACTTTGCCTTCATGCGCTTCAACCAGGTGTGCTCACCACGCTCACCACGCTCACCACGCTCACCACGCTCACCACGCTCACCGCGGTCACCACGCTCACCGCTGTTACCGCACTCACCACGCTCGCCACAGTCACCACGCTCACCACGCTTACCACGCTCACCACGCTCACCACGCTCACCGCTGTTACTGCACTCACCACGTTCACCACGCTCACCACGCTTGCCACGGTCACCACGCTCACCACGCTCGCCATGCTCACCACGCTCGCCACGCTCGCCACGTTCACCACGCTCACCGCGGTCACCACGCTCACCACACTCACCACATTCACCACGCTCACCACACTCACCACATTCACCACATTCACCACATTCACCACACTCACCTCATTCACCACACTCACCACATTCACCACACTCACCACACTCACCACATTCACCACACTCACTACACTCACCACGTTCACCACGTTCACCACACTCACCACGTTCACCACACTCACCACACTCACCACGTTCACCACACTCACCACACTCACCACATTCACCACATTCACCACACTCACCACACTCACCACATTCACCGCATTCACCGCATTCACCACACTCACCGCATTCACACTCACCTCATTCACCACACTCACCACATTCACCACACTCACCACTCACCACATTCACCACACTCACCACACTCACCACGTTCACCATGCTCACCACACTCACCACGTTCACCACACTCACCACGTTCACCACGCTCACCACGCTCACCACATTCACCACACTCGCCACATTCACCACATTCACCACACTCACCACATTCACCGCATTCACCACACTCACCGCATTCACCACACTCACCGCATTCACACTCACCTCATTCACCACACTCACCACATTCACCACACTCACCGCATTCACCACACTCACCACACTCACCACACTCACCATGTTCACCACGCTCACCACACTCACCACGTTCACCACACTCACCACGTTCACCACACTCACCACGTTCACAACACTCACCACACTCGCCACATTCACCACACTCGCCACATTCACCACATTCACCACACTCACCACATTCACCGCATTCACCACACTCACCACACTCACCGCATTCACCACACTCACCACACTCACCACGTTCACCACACTCACTACACTCACCACACTCACCACACTCACCACGTTCACCACACTCACCACACTCACCACGTTCACCACACTCACCACGTTCACCACATTCACTACACTCACCGCATTCACCACACTCACCACACTCACCACGTTCACCACATTCACCACGTTCACCACACTCACCACACTCACCACACTCACCACATTCACCACATTCACCGCATTCACCACACTCACCGCATTCACCACACTCACCTCATTCACCACACTCACCACATTCACCACACTCACCACACACACCGCATTCACCACACTCACCACACTCACCGCATTCACCACACTCACCACGTTCACCACACTCACCACACTCACCACGTTCATCGCGCAGGAGACGGCGAACCAGCTCTCGTTCGCTCAGCCCGGTCACTCGGGAGGTCCAAGCGGATGCTCCGGCACGTGACGAGACACGCCGCTAATTAACTTGACAACGTTCACAAACATTCCAAGATTTATCGTGATCATTGCAACGATCGTGACGATGATCACAAGAACAATCTCCCGCACGTGCATGCCTGCTTTGCTTGCGAGTGCGTTGGTGAGTGCGTTGGTGTGTACGTGGGTGCGTTGATGTGTACATGAGTGCGTTGGTGAGTGCGTTGGTGAGTGCGTTGTTCCGTGTGTTGGTGTGTACGTGAGTGCGTTGGTGAGTGCGTTGGTGAGTGTGTACGTGAGTGCGTTGGTGTGTACGTGAGTGCGTTGGTGAGTGCGTTGGTGAGTGTGTTGGTGTGTTGGTGAGTGTGTACGTGAGTGCGTTGGTGGGTGCGTTGGTCCGTGTGTTGGTGTGTACGTGAGTGCGTTGGTGAGTGCGTTGGTGAGTGTGTACGTGAGTGCATTGGTGAGTGCGTTGGTGAGTGTGTACGTGACTGCGTTGGTGTGTACGTGAGTGCGTTGGTGAGTGCGTTGGTGAGTGTGTTGGTGTGTTGGTGAGTGTGTACGTGAGTGCGTTGGTGTGTTGGTGAGTGTGTACGTGAGTGCGTTGGTGAGTGTGTTGGTGTGTTGGTGAGTGCGTTGGCGAGTGCGTTGGTCCGTGTGTTGGTGTGTTGGTGTGTACGTGAGTGCGTTGGTGAGTGCGTTGGTGAGTGCGTTGGCGAGTGCGTTGGTCCGTGTGTTGGTCCGTGTGTATCGTGGTGCGACTCTGCGGCTCGCAGGACCGCCGCGTCGCCCACGCCCCGTACCACGCGCTCTCCCCGAGCGAGCGGGCGGCGTTCACGGCGCGCCGTGCCGTGCTCGCCCACCTGGGCGCCGCCCTGCGCCGCGCCGCCGTCGCCCGCGAGCGCCGGCGGCTCGAGGCCTTGGCGGAGCGAGGAGTCGTCAGTAAGCCGCTAGCTCGCGGGCGGCGAGGGACGTTGTTGTTTTTGTCACGACGACGCCTCTGCTCAACCCGAGCTGCTGACGCGCCGGTCGTTGCATTGCCCTTGCGCTGGTCGCTTTTTCGGCGTTGTTCTCTGGCGTTGTTCTCTGGTCTAACGCCGGTGGTGAGACAAGGCCAGAAAGAAGGCTGTCTCTGGTGTAGGCCAGTCGGTTTCAAAGACAATGCAGGTACATGATTATTATTATTAGAGCATGTTTTGCCACAAGTATGCGTGGTCAATGCAGACTTGATGCCTTGCAAAATGTATCTATGTGGTGTTTAAACAGCTTAACACCTGTTTTATTGCCAAAAAAGGGTCAAACTTATTCTTATTTGTCATAATTTTGATACTGGCAAAAATACGTCCCATAGATATAACTCTCGTACCGAGCTATAAGAGCTCTGATACTTGCATTGCCTTTGTAATGTTTGTCTTTTGGCGTTGTTCTCTGGTCTAACACTGGTGCTGAGACAAGGCCAGAAAGAAGGCTGTCTCTGGTGTAGGCCAATCAGTTTCAAAGACAATGCAAGTATATTATTATTATCAGAGCATGTTCTCCATGATACAGGTTTTTTGGGTTAAATCACATAAACCCGCCACCACCCGGCACAGCCAACTCGTAAGGGTTTGTCACGTAAACAGAACGTGGCCAATTCGTCACTAGCACAGCACACCGGTTGTGTGTTGGAGAGCAAATCCAAAACATTTACAATCTGAGTACGACGTTTCGCCAGTAATTACAACTAGCTTCATCAGGCAACAGCCAGATTTGTATAATTGTGCGATCTAACCCCAAAAAAACGGTATTATTGGTGCCACAACTCCGTGATGAATGCAGACTCGATGCCTTGGAATAGGTGTGTGTCTATTTGGTGATTGAACATCTTAAACACCTCCTGTTTAATTGCCAGAAAAGGGGTAAAAGCCTATCCTTATTTTTTTTCATCATTTTGATACCGGCAAAAAAGGTTCCCGCCGAGGCATCTCTTGTTATCCCCACGCTGGGTAACCCGGCAAAGCCTCAATGAAGAATCGGGTGCACTGCGCGTAAACATCGCCACTGGGCAAAAGGCGTTCAGGCGCAGTTGCTGGCCAACCGGCTCGCTCGTGCGTTGAACTTCTTTCGCACCGTACATAGCCGACCGTGATAATCGGAGGTGCGGGGGAAGGGCAATTAAAACACGAAAGTAAATTTGCGTTTACAATCTGGGCGCTTTAAAAGTGCATGGCTCCCGGTGGCTTCCCGAACCACTCGCGCCGTCAGCACTTGCCCCGACGGCCAGTCGAAGGCTGCACGGGGGGGGGCCTTTGCATGTGCGTCTCTGCAGCGGTGGGGCCCAGCAAGAGGTTCGTTTACACCGGCGCGGGCGCGACCGTCCCCACGACCTCCGGGCCGTCCCCTCGCTCGGCACGACGCTCCTCCTCGCCGCACTCCTCGCAGAGGTAACGACGAGGTGGCGTCGCTCGCTCACGCGTCGCCTTCGGGCGTCACGGTGGCTATGAGATGTTAACTCCCTCGCCTGGTATACAGAGGTCGTGGGTTCGATCCTGACCCTGATTCCTCATGTATATTTGGAGTTTGTGTGTGTGTCTCTCTCATCATCATCACTGTGCCGAGGAGATGTTTAACTACCTCGCCTGGTATACAGAGGTCGTGGGCTCGATCCCGACCCTGATTCCTCATGTATATTTGGAGTTTGTGTGTGTGTGTCTCTCTCATCATCATCATCACTGTGCCGAGGAGATGTTAACTACCTCGCCTGGTATACAGAGGTCGTGGGCTCGATCCCGACCCTGATTCCTCATGTATATTTGGAGTTTGTGTGTGTGTGTCTCTCTCATCATCATCACTGTGCCGAGGAGATGTTAACTCCCTCGCCTGGTATACAGAGGTCGTGGGCTCGATCCCGACCCTGATTCCTCATGTATATTTGGAGTTTGTGTGTGTGTGTCTCTCTCATCATCATCACTGTGCCGAGGAGATGTTAACTACCCCGCCTGGTATACAGGCTGTCGTGGGTTCGATCCCGACCCTGACACCTGGATATTTGGAGTTTGCGTGTCATCACGCGTTTAGAGCATTTGGCTAATCTAAATTTCCGCACACGGTCAGCCCACTTCATATTCTTGGGTTTTTCGGTAAAGTCAAGTAGATAGGTTCAAAGAAAATAACAAAAACCTATCTCAGTGACTTTACCGAAAGACCCAAGAATATGAATTCGTGCAGTCACGAAAGCTTTAAGTCAAGATTTAAGCCCACTTCGTCGAGCTCTCATTTGTGGTGGCCCAGGTGGAGCCACCGTAGCTCAGTGGGGCCTTCCCTGGTCAAATTCAAAAATAAAAAGTTCAGTTTAGTTTTTTTGTGTCGCGGTTTTGTTGTCCGCGGCTCAAACCCGGCCGGGCCAATTCACTGGCGCGGATTCACTGCGCGCTGATTCACTGGCGCTGATTCACTACGCGCGGATTCACTGGCGCTGATTCACCGAGCGCTGATTCACTGGCGCGGATTCACCGGGCGCTGATTCACCGGGCGCTGATTCACCGAGCGCTGATTCACTGGCGCGGATTCACCGGACGCTGATTCACTACGCGCTGATTCACTGGCGCTGATTCACTGCGCGCTGATTCACTGGCGCTGATTCACTGGCGCTGATTCACCGGGCGCTGATTCACCGCGCGCTGATTCACTGGCGCTGATTCACCGCACGCTGATTCACTGCGCGCGGATTCACCGGGCGCTGATTCACCGAGCGCTGATTCACTGCGCGCTGATTCACTGGCGCTGATTCACTACGCGCTGATTCACTGAGCGCTGATTCACTGCGCGCTGATTCACTGGCGCTGATTCACTGGCGCTGATTCACCGGGCGCTGATTCACTGGCGCTGATTCACTGCGCGCTGATTCACTGGCGCTGATTCACTGCGCGCGGATTCACCGGGCGCTGATTCACCGAGCGCTGATTCACTGGCGCTGATTCACTGCACGCTGATTCACTGGCGCTGATTCACTGCGCGCTGATTCACTGGCGCTGATTCACCGCACGCTGATTCACTGCGCGCTGATTCACTGGCGCTGATTCACTGGCGCTGATTCACCGCACGCTGATTCACTGCGCGCTCCCTCTTCACGGTCACAGACGAGAAACCCGCGCGGGCGCGGGCACCAAAGAGGGGAGCGCGGCGGTGAATGAAAAGAAAATCGTGAGGTGTGAACGCGCGAGCACACACACACACTCCCACGATACACACTCGCACACACTCCCACGATACACACACACTCCCACGATACACACACACACTCCCACGATACACACACTCGCACGATACACACACACACACTCCCACGATACACACACTCCCACGATACACACACTCGCACGATACACACACACACACTCCCACGATACACACACTCCCACGATACACACACTCCCACGATACACACACACTCCCACGATACACACACACACACACTCCCACGATACACACACACACACACTCCCACGATACACACACACACACACTCCCACGATACACACACACACTCCCACGATACACACACACACTCCCACGATACACACACACACACACTCCCACGATACACACACACTCCCATGATACACACACACACACACTCCCACGATACAACAACCGCCATTCGCCACTAAGTGGCGGTGACGTCACCACGACGCTTGTGCCAGGCCATGTGCACCCTGAGGCCACGTGAAGTGTCGAACGCCCGCTGGCAGGAGGTCACGGGGCAGACCCAGGTGCCACGGGTCGACTGACTGAGATGACTGGCTGATGCACCACCTGTGCCCCCTACTGTGCCAACCTGCTGTGCTTTAGCCACCCGACGCTCCGCTCGTTGTTGTGAGCGTCGCTCCTCCGCCCTCCGTTGTTGTTGGAGGGCGACTGCCTCCAACTGCCCAGTAGCGTCCTTCACGAGCCTCCTCCACAGAGGCCGATCTTGACACCGCTGGTACCAGTCATCGGCAAGTCCACTCAGCTCCACGTCCTCCTGTACCACATCACTCCATCTCTTCTCTAGCCCGTGCCACGCCCGTTTAGCCCCCTCGATCCGGCCAAACAAAAGCTGTTTCGGCATGCGGTGGCTGGGCATGCGGGCTACATGACCCAGCCAACGCAGCCTGGTTAAACCCAGGATGGATCGTAGGCAGGCTAGCCTAAATGTTTCTAATCAGCGAAGATGTTCCATTAAGGGGGTTCACGTTTCGCAAGCGTAGAGAAGGGAGGGAATGACCGTGGCCGAGTAGACCTGAAGCTTAGTGCGGAGCGACAGACCAAGTAGCTTCCACACAGCGTTACGCAACCGATGAAAAGATATTGCCGCTCGACTGATTCGGAGTGAGACCTCTGCTGTTAAACTGGAGCCGGTCATAAGCACACTGCCCAGGTATGGGAAACTCTCCACTCTCTCCACAAATGCCCCATCACCGATTGGGAGTTGTGGGGGTGGAGTGTCCGATGGTACAAAATACCCAGGCAGGTGCTTTGGTGGGGCTGATGGTAAGGCCCCATCTCTTAGTGGCACGTTCCAGTCTCAGCAGCAGCGTCTCCAACTCCTCCTCTGAATGAGCAGCTATTACCAAATCATCAGCATACATAACATGGTTGAGCAATAGGGAGCCATCCCTTGACCGCACCCGGGCATCGATCAGCCTCCCATTATATCTGTACCAAATGAAGATTCCCCCGGTACAGCTATTGAAGGTTTCACGAACTACGTGGTCAAAATAGATGTTAAATAATGTGGGAGCCAGAGGACATCCCTGTTGCACCCCAAGGTGTACAGGGAATGGCTCTGACTCCCGGCCACGTAGTTTTACCTGGACCCGCTCACCATCATGAAGGTCCTTCATGATCGTGAGCAGAGGGTCAGGGACTCAAAAAGCACGAAGAACAACCCAGAGCCCGGCCTACTGATGGTATCATAGGCCTTGACCAGGTCAATAAAGCAGAGATGTAGGTCTTGCTGGAATTCCCTACACCTCTGCTATAGCAGACGGACCGAAAATATGGCATCTGTGCAGGACCGGCCTTTCCTGAAACCACATTGGGGCTCTGCAAGCCTCTACTCAGTGTGCCTGGCAAGGCGATGTTGAATAAACCTTGCCAGGACCTTTCCCGGCACACTGAGGAGTGAGATGCCCCTGTAGTTGTTAGTCTGTGAGGTCTCCCTTCTTAAAGAGGGGGACCACCAGGGCATCCTTCCAATCCTGCGGAACCCGTCCAGTGGTCGAGACTGTTGTTGTGATGTCATATAGGGCAGTCTGTGCACAAACGCCACCCTCCCTCAGCATTTCGCTTGGGAGATCATCTCTGCCCGGTGCCTTTCCTGGTCTCAGACTCCAGATCGCAGAAATGCTCAGCAAATCTGCAAACCTGTTCCTGGGAGTCGGAGATTGGAACACCGTTTTTCCCATAATTATGGTAATAGGTGTGGCGCTGCAGGTTACTTTTTTGATGGCGTTAGAGATTTGTGATCGCGGGCCAGTGAGGTTAGACTCCATCTCCTCAGCAACCCGCGACCACCACCCATTCTTGCAGCGCCTCACGGCTCTCCGAGCGAAGGCTGTGGTAAGCCTCATTCTCTGACGTGGGATTCTGTAGCCGATGACAGTGGGCATGTCGCTTTTTCTCAAGTATCCTGAACACCTCCTCTGTCAGCCAGGGTCTCTGGGGAGGTCTGGACCGCGTACCCAAAGCAGCCATTGCAGCTGCATGAGTCACAATCCTAAACCTCGCCCATTTACCCTCGACAGCAGGAGGAGTGGGGGACGATGCCAACCCCAGTCGCAAGCGATGATTAAATTCTCGCTTGCAACTTTCATCAGCTGAGACCAGGCCACTTTACGGTAGGTCCTGGTGTCAAGGACATGGGCTCGCATCCGCTGGTCCGTCACTATGTAGTCCAGCAGATGTTCTTACTTGGACCCGGCATGCATCCATGATGTTGTGTGGATACGCCGATGCCGGAACAGCGTGTTGGTAATTACAAGCCCATGGGCTGCACAAAAATCTAGCAGCCTCCTATCGTTGTTATTGAGCTGATCTGGCCCATGCCCTCCAATCACTCCAGACCAGGTGCCAGCATCATGACCATCTCAGGCATTGAAGTCACCCAACAAGATGACTCTACCTGTGACAGGAGGTCATAGAAGACATCTGACTCATCGGCTTTGCCTGCATCCCTCCACGGATGTTCGTCTTCGGTGGGGGCATAAGTAACCACGAACACCACTCCTCGCCTCCGGTTGATGGGAAGGCGAGCCCAAAGTAGCCTGGGGCTTACAGCTTTCCACACCTCACTGCCACGCTCCCACGCCCCCTTCATTCTTTTGTTCAAAAGAAGAGCCACACCCTGTTGTTTGGCAGTCTGCTGCCCTGAGTAGAGGACTGTCCACCCCTCATGGTATCAAGAGCCAGAACCGGTCCACCGGACCTCCTGAATGCCACAGAGATGCAGGCGGTACCAGTCCAGCTCCTGACAGGAGTGGCAGCCTCTCCTCCGCAGTGAGCGTTCGAACATTCCACGTGGCCACACGAAGTGGCTTTTCGTTGTTTCTGGAGCAGCCCCGAGGGGAGATATTCAATCTCCTGGCTCCGCCAATTGGGGTTTGGCCAGGAGACGTCATAGACGCCTGTCCCCCCGGGGCCTCCGGCACAAGCTTATTAGTTAGATATTTTAGTCGTGGTTTCGTGGTAATTTTTTTAAGGTGGAGGGGTTACCAGCCTCTCGCACCCGTCCAGAGCCCCCGTTTAGCCACTGTGGTGGTCGCAGACGCCATGAGGGGAGAGGCCAATCGGAATTGGCCCTCCCCCCACAGCACTGTTCACGACAGAGTTGCCCGTCCGGCACCGCGAGGAGGTAGGGGGTCCCACGATACACACACACGCACACACTCCCACGATACACACGCCCACGATAGACACACTCCCACGATACACACACACTCCCACGATACACACACACTCCCACAATACACACTCCCATGATACACACGCACACACACACACACTCCCACGATACACACACACACACTCCCACGATACACACACACTCCCACGATACACACACTCCCACGATACACACACTTACACGATACACACACACACTCCCACAACACACACTCCCACTATACACACTCCCACTGTCGGGACTGTTCCAGATTTTTGGATTCGTGAGTGGATGACTGAGTGAGTGAAAGCAAAATATCAATGAGTGAATGTCAAAGTGAGTGAATGTCTCCCTGCCTTGGCGCTTCCAACTGCAGTTCTGTGATGAGTCAGCGAGTGCATGAATAAGTAAAGGAATATGTACGGGACCTTTTTCCCCAGTATAAATCCGCATGAACCACACGTACTTACATGTTTTTGCCACAAGTGGTTAATGCAGACTTGATGTCTTGAAAACGGGTTTCTATTTTGGTGTTTGAACATCTTAACACCTCCTGCTTTATTGCCAGAAAGGGGTAAAACCTATTCTTGTTTTTTTTTTATCAAGTGAAAGAACGTCTCCCGCCCTAGGCGCTTCATGGTGCGGTTCTGCTGCATCAACGAGCCAATGAACGATCGAAACGAGCGAGTAAATGAGTGAGCGAACGTCTCCCTGGCCAGGCGCTTCCTGCTGCGGTTCTGCTACGGCTGCGGCCGCGCCGTGGGCGTGCGGCTGTCCCCGTGCTCGCGGTGCCGCGAGGTCCTCTACTGCAGCCGCGCGTGCACCGTCGCCGCCTGGGCCGGCTGGCACCGCGACGAGTGCGTCCGCGTGCCAGGTGCGGTGCCCCCTCAGGCCGCTCGCTCGCTCACCCACCCACTCATTCGCTCGTTCACTCCGTCGGTGGCACGTGCGTAATCTTTGAACTTCTTTCGCACCGCACGCCGCCGCCCGGCGCTAATCGAGCCCGCTCCTCATTCGCTCACCCATTCATTCATTCATTCTATCAACAACGGCCGCCTTTCGCCACCGCTAACACCACAGCACTTGTGGCAGGCTAGGTGCACCTTGAGGTCAGGTGCATTGCGGAAGGCTCACCGACAGGTCACGGGACAGACCCAGGCGTTCGGGGTTGACAGATGCACCATCTCGGCTCCCCACTGTGGCGCCTTCCTGCTCGTTGCTGTTGTTGCTCGTCGCACCTCTGCGTCCTTTCTCATTGTTAACTCGCTCATTTCCTTACCCATTCGCTCTCCCACTCATTTCCATCGCTCACTCGCTCGCTAATTTCCCCCACTATTCACTCGTCCGCTCACAGGGCCCTCTCTCCTCGACAACGCAAATCACATTGTGGTTCCTATTGCTCTCACATCATCGCAGCCAATCATTTCTAATAACAACACGCGATTGCGTCCCATGAACACAGCAGCCTGCCGGCGGGGCCCGTCGCCGCTCCGCGCGATCTCACGCTGCGCCTAGCCCTGGCGCCTTCCGTTCACTTGCCGGTCCGTGCGTCTCTGTGGCAGGTCAACGCAGCCAGCAGCGCAAGGGCAAACCCGACGCGGCGCTCGACGGAAAGACCGCGAAGCAGCCCGCCGTGCCTTCGTGCTCGGAAAACTACAGCTTCAACTAACACGAGGAGCGGCCAACGGTCCGGAAGGGAGCTGCCTCCGCCCGGCGGATGCTTCCACGGTCCCCCGGCCGTGTGCCCCCGTCTCCTCCTCGTCTCTCCCGCGGCCAAGACGATCGCGGCCAACGCCGCGGCCACGACTATCGGCCACGACTATCGGCCACCTTCATTCGCAGATTGACAACGGCCGCTCTCGTCGGCCCGTCACCCGCTCGTCTCTCCGCGAATGCTACGACCGTGGCCGTTGCTACAGCCGCTCTCTTCCCTCATTGTTGCCATCTCCTGCCCAAGCTGCAGGCAAAATTGTTCCCCCACCCTCCCTCCTCCTCACTCCCTCCTCCTCACTCCCTCCTCCTCATTCCCACCTCCTCACTCGCTCCTCCCTCCTCAGTCCCTTTACCCCCCCCCCCCCCCCCCCTTTCTGTCCTTGCACTGCTCAGCTTTGAAAATCCGCTTCTCTTTCCAAGTTTGTAAACGCCGCCTTGATGCTCAGAGCTCGTCAGTCTCCCGCCCCTCCCCTTCTCTGGCCGTCTGTGCCGTGGCGGCGGAGGCTTTGCCGTACGGACGTCCGATTTAGCGACAGCGATGGACAAATCTATCCGCGGGCACGTCGCACGCGGCGGCTCCGGCAAAAGCTCACAGGGTAACGCTTTTCATGCAATCCGTGTGTGGCCAGATACCGTGGGTGGAAAATATCCTTTGGTGGGGGGGGGGGGGGAGAGCTGACATCGTTGTGATAAATGAAATCACGTATAGAGAATTAAATGTCTATTTTTTGTAAACATTTTTTTTATTTTACCAGGTAAGGCCCACTGAACTATATAGCTGTTCTTCAGAAGCGACCCGACCACAACCGATAGCTCAACAAAGTGGCTCATCAAGTGGAAATGTATATCAGCGGCCAAATACTCTGAACGCGTGGTGATGTTTATTATAAACCCAAAGAAAAACCCCACCACCACGGGGAGAGAGAACATGCAACCTCCAAATATATATGAATCAGGGTCGGGATCAATCCCACAACCTCCTGTATACCAGGCGAGGTAGTTAACATCTCGCCACCGATATACATATATTTTACATATACGAATGTCCAAAAACTAGAGCGAAGTTCGCCACTCACAGAGCACGCGGTGGACGGGCGTCCAAGGGCACCGGTCACCTGACCGCGTGCGGGACCCCTGCTCTACGTGCGGGGTGACCCCACACGCCGCGACCGCCTTGCAGAGGTGCTGCTGGGTCGGCCGTGTGCACGCCGGAGAGGTTCCAGGAGGCCAATCCCCTCCAGCCCCGGCTACCCACCACGTGCATGTTCAACTTACTTTGCACCGTACGCAGCCGCCAACCGTTCTCATCGGAGGCGCGGTGGGTGGAGGGGGGGGGGACATCAAAAACGCGTGGTCTCGTACGGAAGCGGTCGGCTGGGTGACGGGATCCACGCTGGCTTTGCCACGTACAAGGAGCTGCGAACCACGTCGAGACACTGGGTTCAATCGCTGCAGCCGGGGTCGCCTCCACTAAAGGGCGTTCGCAATGTCGCTGTTGAATCGGCGTTTGAGTCGTCGCCTCTCGTCGCCCCTCGTCGCCCCACGCGAGCGTTGTTTGGCGACCGCGATGGGAAACCGCGAATAAAGACGCCATCTCCGTCTGCCGGTCTTCGTCTTCCACGGCTGCGCTTGGGGGGGGGGTGGGGGGGGGGGGGCACCGCACGGCTCGGCAGCTCGGGCCGGAGCCGCTCAACTGCTCCCACAGACGACGCGGGAGCGAGAAGCGGGAATCCTGCGCGTGGCCGGGAACCCCCCCCCCCCCACCTCCGCCCCCCCCACCCGCGCTCAGAGCCGGCTCCAGTTGACCGTCGCGTGGAGCCACGGCTCGCTTTGAGCCCGGGCCCGGAGTCGAACCCGGGTGGTGGGCGAGCGGCGCGAAGTTTCGCTCGACGTCGGCCGCCGCCGCCGCGTGGAACGCCGCCGTCAAGGACGCGGCGCCGCCGGGGTCATGCAACAGAAGTGCGTCCTTTATTTTTATTTTCGCTACCGAGTCACGAGGCGTAACGATGCGCAAAGAGAAGTGCAAACACAGCTACAGTCGGTCGTGGAATTGCACAATCCTGAAGTTCAAAACACTTTCCTTCACAGCTATAGCAAATGCTCATGGAAACACTCACAAGTCACCAAGTCACCGGGATCTTTGTTTTTCGTAATACCGCCAAGGTCCCACGGAAAGCTGAGGATCGGGGGGGTCGTGGGCTCCACGTTGGCTACGGGGCGACGCAGGCGAAGCCGCTTCCTCGGGGAGTTTGGAATTTCTCGCGCTGATCGTTCCAAGTTTTGTTTCCCTTTCCGTCAACCGGTAAACGAATGAAATTCAAGCCGCGGGAGAAAACCGGTTAGTACCGGTTTTTGCCGCGCACAAGAGAAATGTCTAGAAGAATAAACACAGGGCGTTTTAACTTTTTAAACGCCCGACGACCTCTTCCAAGGCGTGTGGCCAGCACGGAAGAGTAGACCAAACACCCCCGAGGGCTCCCTCCTCGCAATGACCCGTCTGCCCGGCAGTGGCGTGAGCAACCAATTGCAGGGCCGCGGCCTTCACCTTTTAACGGAGAAACGAGGGGGAGTTCAACTTAGGCCGCGGTGCAGTTCGCGCGTCCGCCCCGTGCCAATCGGCGCGTTCGTCACCGACGTCACCGGTTCCGGTAATCGACTCCGAAACGCGGCCATCGTTCAACCCCAAATTTTTTCGTCCCCAAAAAGCAACAAAATCCACACTGCACGAGAGCGGCACGGGGGGGGGAGGGGGGGGGGGAACTCTCCCGCTGTGCTGCCGTTGTGCGAGTCCCATCACCACTTTCACTCCACTTAACTTGGGGGGGGGGGGGGGGGGGGGTGGGAAATCTCTCGAGACGCGACGGCTCATTTGGGGCATCGTCCGCCTGCAAGGTCTGCCGATGAGAGCCGACGGAGTCGCGAGCAGCTGCACCGGGCGCCGAGCGGAGGTCCGGAGGGCCCGCGGAACGTGCAGCGTTCCCCCCCTTACGCCGCTTAAAATCGGAGGAGCCGGGGGGGGGGGGGGGGGCGGGGGACGATGCCCCCTACACACCAAGACAAATGGCGAGCGGCCGGGGCTACCTCGCGCGCGCGCCCTCCGGTACAATCGCGGGCGAGAGGACGTGGCCACCGCCGCCGCCCGCCACGTGAAGGGGGCGAGCGAGCGGCGCCCGCGCGGGGCGCCGCTCTGCGGGGAGACGCCGCACGACCGCCGCTCCCATCGCGAAACTGGAGGGTCCCGGGAAAAACTCAGAAGCCGTAAAAAGTGGTCGTGGCTTCCGCGGCCGCTTTTCCTTCACAACCAAATCGTCTTAAATCTCCCTCACCCCCCCCGTCGCCTCCGTGCATCCAACAGTGCGAATGGGCTCACAACGACAGTCTATCGGTAAGGGCGCAAACGGTGGGGTAAAATCTGGGTACCCCTGCCTCTTCCAAGATGTCTGGTCCAGTGTGGGGGTGTAAGCCAAAAAATATTCCCTGGAGGGAGCTCTGTCCTCGATCTCCGCTTCTGCCAGCAGTGGCGTGAGCGACTACTTTGCAGGGCTGCGCCTTGAACCTGTTTGTTTGTTTGTTGACAATCTGCGCCCTGCCCCGGGCACCCACAACAGCGGTGAGCACTGGGCACTTGGCCCAGAACCGACGAGAGCGGAGGGGGCACAGAGGGAGTTCCAAAAGCGCACAGCACGCACGCGCAACAACAACGCAACAACAACGCAACAACAACGCCCACGCCCCAAGTACGAGAGCTTATTAAACCACCTGCGCGCGTGAAACACGACAGCAAAGTGTGACATGGCGAAGCCGCGAGATGGAGGAGACGCTGACGCAGCCACGCCTCTAGTCACCCCAAGCATTGCACACAAGCGGGGGCTGGGACGAGGGGATAGGGGACCTGGTCCAGTTCGGGGTTAGGGTCGAGGTCAAGTATTAGGGACTGTGGTCGGGTTAGGTCCACCGAGGGTCAGGGTTCGGGTCGGACCTGGTGTTACATTCGGGAGGAGTTAGGGGCGAGGTGAGGGTATGCGCGGGAGTCTCAAGCCGCGCGATCGGTCCGAGAGTGTGGGTTGTCGAATCCCAACGAACACCCGTTTTAGCCTTTGCGACACCCGGTAACCCTTGGGAACGCTCGGCGTGCATGGGAACACCCGGTTATCCATGGTAACACTTGGTATCCGTGGAAACACCCGGTATCCGTGGCAGCCCCTGGTATCCTTTGGCACACTTTGGTATCCGTGGAAACGCCTGGTTTCCGTGGTAATACTCGGTCACCCAGCGAGCGGCCCTGACGCCCGAACAAGAACCCGGGGGTCATCGCCCGCCACCACCACCCCACTCCCCCACCACGTGCGCCACCCTTACCCGGCGGCAGACCCGGTGGGGACCCAGCCAGAGCAAGGTGCGCGAGGGGGGGGGGGCATGGGAGGGGGAGGGACGGACGACGACCCCCCGCCCAACCCCTGCGGCCGCTAGGTGAGGCCCAGCACCCGCTGGAAGAGGGAGGCGTGGTGCTCCGGGTCGCCGGTGGGCTCCACCACCACCACCCCCTCCTCCTCCTCTTCCTCGTCGGCCGTCTCGCGCTGCCGGCTCAGGGAGCGGACCAGGTCCCCCACGGTCCAGAGGCGGCGCCGAGCGGCTCGCACCAGGGCCTGCAGCTGGGACAGCAGCAGCAGCAGCAGGAGGAGCAACACGGAGATAAAACCGCACGACAGCATAGAGAACCACAGGCAACCAAACAGGCACACACAACCACACAGAACCACACTCAACTACATAGAACAACACGTAACCAAACAGAATCAATCACAACTATACAGAACCACTCAACCATACAGAACCACTCACAGCCATGCAGAACCACTCACAACCATACAGAACCACTCACAACTATACAGAACCACTCACAACCATACAGAACCACTCACAGCCATGCAGAACCACTCACAACCATACAGAACCACTCACAACTAAACAGAACCAATCACAACTATACAGAACCACTCACAACCATACAGAACCACTCACAACCATACAGAACCACTCACAACCAAACAGAACCAATCACAACCATACAGAACCACTCACAACCAAACAGAACCACTCACAACCATACAGAACCACTCACAACCATACAGAACCACTCACAACCATACAGAACCACTCACAACCATACAGAACCACTCACAACCATACAGAACCAATCACAACTATACAGAACCACTCACAACCATGCAGAACCACTCACAACCATACAGAACCACTCACAACCATACAGAACCACTCACCACCATACAGAACCACTCACAACCATAGAGAACCACTCACAACCAGACAGAACCACTCACAGCCATACAGACCCAGTCACAACCATACAGAACCACTCACAACCATACAGAACCACTCACAACCAAACAGAACCACTCACAACCAAACAGAACCACTCACAACCAGACAGAACTACTCACAACCAAACAGAGCCACTCACCACCATACAGAACCAATCACAACTATACAGAACCACTCACAGCCATACAGAACCACTCACAACCATATAGAACCACACACAACCATGCAGAACCACTTACAACCATACAGAACCACTCACAACCATACAGAACCACTCACAACCATACAGAACCAATTACAACCATACAGAACCACTCACAACCATACAGAACCACTCACAACCATACAGAACCACTCACAACCATACCGAACCATTCACAACCAAACAGAACCATTCACAACCAAACAGAACCACTCACAACCATACAGAACCACTCACAACCATACAGAACCATTCACAACCATACATAACCACTCACAACCAAACAGAACCACTCACAACCATGCAGAACCACTCACTACCATACAGGACCACTCACAACCATGCAGAACCACTCACAACCATACAGAACCACTCACAACCATACAGAACCACTCACAACCATACAGAACCACTAACAACCATACAGAACCACTCACAACCATACAGAACCACTCACAACCATGCAGAACCACTCACCACCATACAGAACCACTCACCACCATACAGAACCACTCACAACCATACAGAACCACTCACAACCATACAGAACCACTCACAACCATACAGAACCACTCACAACCATACAGAACCACTCACAACCATACAGAACCACTCACAACCATACAGAACCAATCACAACCATACAGAACCACTCACAACCATATAGAACCACTCACAACCATACAGAACCACTCACAACGAAACAGAACCATTTCTACTCGCTTAATTGCTGCAGTTCGTTCTTCCGCTTTTGTCATGTTGGCGGCCCAGATCACCTCTGTGAATGAGCCTCCTCTATCCTGGCCTCCTGAGTTCCCATCACGTAAAATAAACTTGAAAACCTCTCCAAACACAATGCCTCCTCCTCCTATCCCCACCTCCCCCACGGCCCTCACCTCCCCGGGACCCCCCTCCCCCGCCCTACCTGCTGCGGGTCTGGCAGCTGGGACTCGGTGACGCGCAAGCGGGCGACGCCGCGGGCCGACGCGACGGCCCAGAGCACCAGCACGGCCTCCTCGGCCCGGAGGCCCGAGCAGCGTGGCCACACGGTGTGCACCAGCAGATCCTGCTTCCACACGGCTGGGCGCAAACACGGCACGAACGCACAAAACCCAAGGCAAGAGATCCACCGTGGAGTCCGAACAGACCGTTTGGTGCTGTTAGCGCAGCAGCGCCGTTGAAGGGCGGCAAGGCGCGCGGGGGGGTGGGTGGCCGGCGCCACGCCCGGCCGCCTTCGTCTGCCAGGTGGAGAAGTTTTTACGCCGCACCAGGTACTCGTTTGAGGCCGAGCCGACCTAGGGGAGGCCCAGGACCGGTTCGGACAATCGTCGCCGGTGTTGGCCGTGAGCGGGAATCGAACCCGGGTCGTAGCCGGGTTCGAAGGGCAGCAGCGAAGCTCACCGGCTACACTAACCGCTCCGCATACCCTGGACACGCGTGTACGCATGTCGAACAACACGCGTGTACGCATGTCGAACAACACGCGTGTTCCTACATCATTAGACCTCCTTTTGCCAGTACCAAAATGTAATAATAGGGTTTTTTCCCCTTTTTTCTGGCAACAAAACAGAAACCTTTTTACAAGGATTCATGTCTGCATTAACCACAATACCTGCAGTCAAAATGCAAACAAAAAACATACTATGATAATATATGCATTGTCCTTGAAACTGATTGGTCCACACCAAGGGATGGCTTTCTTTTAAGCCTTCAAGGACAATGCATATATTATCATAGTATGTTTTTTGTTTGCATTTTGACTGCAGGTATTGTGGTTAATTCAGACATGAATCCTTGTAAGAAGGTTAAAGTTTTGTTGCCAGAAAAAAGGGGAAAAACCCTATTATTACGCGTGTTCCTGTTTACCTCTTGAAGCGAGCGACACGGGGATGGCGCTGCCGTGGTTGTCGTTACCGCAGTGAGCGCGCCGGGATTGCAATCTAGAGGTGGCCAATTCGAGCCACTCTCCCGGCGCGGCAGTTGACACAATGTTACAGCGCAGCATGCTAGCCGCTGCACACGGGGAAAGGGGACGTTCAGATGCGGCATCGGCAGCGCCGGCCATGACGTCGGCATGCGCTGGCCATCACCAGTGGCAGAAATGATCACATTCATTAGCAGCAACATCAGCATGTCCCCACACTAACATTTAATTCACTTCGCGTGGGCCGCAGATGCACGAGGCCTACCACATCGAAACAGCCTACGTGTGATGCGTATCCGTCACTGCAAGCGTCCGAGCCGTACCAATCTGGCACTGGAGGGAAATAACTTTCAACCTGGCATCACCGGGTTTCTAACATTAGCACATTCAGGCACTAATGTTTTGTGGTATTACTGGATAACGCCGAGGTGAGCGTGTGGCTACTCTAAGTATCCGCGTGTTAAGTCACTGAGCTGTCATTTGTGACCAGGCCGCTTCAAGAAAATAGCTCAGTGGCCCTTAATCTGTAAAATAAATAAAAATTGTTTAGTTTTATTCGTATTATTGTTAGTGATTTGCTTACATTTCCTATACTTTGTACTCCTATCGTCGTGTTTCTGTATTGTTTGTTGCTGTCGCGTTCTGACCCGACTCCCACTGGACATCTGTGAAAAAGAGCTTTACAGCTCATCGGATTCCTCCAGCATAAACATTCTGATTCCGATTCTGAATGTGAGGAAAAGGCTCTTCCCACTCTTACCAACAATCGTAATGGAATAATAATAACAATAATCATCGATTATTTTCCCATGAAAGCCACACAAGTCCATATGGATCCCTGCAATCACGAAAACTTCAAGTCTAGATTGCCACACAAGTCCAAAGGCTTATTTTCAGGAGGGCCCTGCTACACTGCGATGTTTGGCCAACACCAATGGCACTGCGCGTGTTTAGCTGCGGGAGGAAACCCGTCCGTAGCAAGGGGGGAAGACACAAAACTCCACGACGAGAGGAGCCAGAGTCAGGAAGCGAACCCGGGTCCCCCTTGCCGTGTTACCCCCATGCCCCCATGCCCCCCTGCCGCCCTGCCGCCCTGCCTGCCTGCCTGCCTGCCTGCCTGCCTGCCTGCCTGCCTGCCTGCCTGCCTGCCTGCCTGCCTGCCTGCCTGCCTGCCTGCCTGCCTGCCTGCCTGCCTGCCTGCCTGCCTGCCTGCCGCACGTGCGCGCGAACCCGCGGGTTGTCCCGCACTTACCTGTCCCGGAGGCTCCCGTGGGCCGACTGTTCTCCGCGGCCCCCTGCGGGTCGCTGCACGCGCGCACGCAAGGGGGAAAACGCCGGAGTCCATCGTTGGTCACCGTCGGCAGGGGACAGTGACGTTCCACTCCGCGCGCCGGGAGCTCCGTCGGTGGGGGGGTGGGGGGGGGGGGGGGGCAGGAGAACGGGGCCGGGGGGGGGGGAGGTGCCGCCGTGCCGAGGCGGCGTCGGCCACATCGGAAGCCGGCGGCGGGAGAGCGCGCGGCCCCTGGAGCACCGGCTCCGGCCGCGCTCGCGACACGAGGCAGGGGCAGCGAGGAGGCTCTGGGGGCCTGCCCCGCCGCCCAGCCCAGCGCAGCGCGGGAGAGCGGCACGCGGTGCGGTGCAGTGTGCACGCTGAGCGCTACGCGACGCTACGCTTGGCGACGCTACGCTTAGCGACACTACGCTGAGCTACGCTGAGCTACGCAGGCCGGCGACGCTGGCACGCGGGGGCGACTGCACGACGACGCTAGCCGTTATTCCGCGTCGAACTGGGACCCCGTGTTTAATAGCGGGGAAATCCTTCCTTATCGACGTCTGGGGGTTCGTCAGCGCCGCTTCAGCCAAGCCTGACTGCTGACGGGACGCTCGATGTCAAAACCGTGCCCAGAGCTTGCTCGTGTTGTACCGATGCCACTGAAATTATGCGCTCCCAAGAGGCTTCGTGGCTGCTGGGCAGCGTAAAAAACGCAATGTGGAGGGACAAGCGAGGGAGACGTGTTGTCTGCCGGCCTACGTTGTTACTCGGAGTGCAGTGGCCCACGCGGCGCAAGCGGCGGCCACGCACGCGGAGACGCACCAACTCCGCCATCGTGGCGGAGCTGGGTAACCAGACGCACCAAGACCCCGCCCCCCGGGTCACCTTCACAGATCGTTGGGGCAGGTGCTGTTAGCGAGCACTTACCAAGGATGGCACACGGCACGCCAGGGGGTGGGTAGACAACACCACGCCCGGCCGCCTTTGTCTGAGTCGACCACGGGGAGGCCCGGGACCGGTTCAGATAATCGCTTGCGTTGTACGAACTCGGGTCGCCAGGTTGGTAGCGCAGCGCGCTAACCGCGACACCACCGCTCCCCACCCCACACGCGTGCACGCCCACACAGGATCAACATGCACCACAGCAGGGGTGTCCAAACTACGGGCCGCGGGCCAACTGCGGCCCGCGGTCCAGTTTTTATTGGCCCGCAGCAAATTCTGAAAATATAATTGAATATGGCCCCGCACAAGAAGCTTGAGCTCAACTCTGTTGCACTTCTCAGTTTCAACACTAGATGGAGCCAGCCACGGAAAACCGTGCTTCTCCACTAAACAAAATTAAGCAAAGAAAAACTTTTACCGCGAGTCACCAGAAATGGCAGCACCGAAGAAACGCAAAATAGCGAGTGAGTGTGGAAGATTTCAAACGCGGTGGGAAAATGAATATTTTTTCAAAGAAATCAACGGAAAGTGTGTCTGTTTGATTTGCAATGAAGATGTTGCTGTGATGAAAGAGTATAATGTCCGTTGGCACTATGAGACCAAACATCAGAGCTGCACATCGTACACCGGTGCCAAACGAACACAGAAAGTCAAGCAAATGGCGGCTAGCCTGCAAGCTCAACAACAATTTTTTTCGTGCTAAGAAAATACAGGAAAACGCCACAACAGCAAGCTATGAAGTCACTAAACTTATTGCCCTGCACGGCAAACCGTTCTCGGACGGTGATTTCATAAAGCAGTGCCTCATCAAAGTCACAGAAATAATGTGCCCGGAAAAAGTGCAGGATTTCAACAGCGTGAGCTTATCCAGAAATACAGTGGCGCGGAGAATCGAGGACTTGTCGGCTAACTTGAAGCTTCAGCTGAGAGACGAAGCTTGTGCTTTTGATTTTTACTCGATAGCATGCGACGAAATTACAGATGCCACAGACACCGCGCAGCTGTTGATTTTTTTGCGGGGAGTAGTTGATAATTTTTGCTATACGGAGGAACTGCTTGATATGATGAGCCTAAAAGGCACAACGACGGGTAGAGATATTTTTGAAGCTATGTCAGAGGCAGCTGAAAAGATGGGGCTTAAACGGGACAAGCTCTGTGGAGTAACAACGGATGGAGCTCCGGCCGTGACGGGCGAGCGCAAAGGAATGGCATCGGGGGTGTGCGCCAAGGTAAAAGAGGGCGGAGGTGAGGCTGTTAGGATGCACTGTATAATCCACCAAGAAGCACTGTGTGCCAAGACTGTCCAGCTGGGCGATGTGATGAGCACCGTTGTAAAAACTGTCAACATAATTCGAGCTAGAGGACTGTACCACAGAGAATTTCAAGCTTTCCTATCTGATGTGGATGCTGAACACGGGGATGTGCTCTACCACTCTGATGTGCGCTGGCTCAGCCGCGGCTCTGCGCTGCAGCGGTTTTATTCGCTGAGGTCAGAAATCGACCAGTTTTTGAAAGAGAAGGGCCGACCTCTTCATGAACTGAGTGACCCTCTGTGGCTGGCAGACCTGGCATTTTTAGTTGATCTTACTCATCATCTGAATACACTGAACAAGAACCTACAAGGCAAAGAACAGCTGGTGCCACACCTGTATGCGCACATGAAAGCCTTCTGTGTAAAGCTCCGCCTGTTTGAGACACAACTACGAAGCTTTAATGCTGCACACTTCCCTGCGCTGTCTGAAATCAAGTCTGCTTTTCCAAAGGCCGACCTTTCTGCTAAAAAGGAGAAATATGTGTCTGTGATTGTATCTCTAGTGACAGAATTCAACCGGCGTTTCCAAGATTTTTCTGTCATTGAAAAACAAATCAAGCTGTTCTCGACCCCCTTCCTGGTGGATGCAGAAGAAGTGGAAGAGAGTCTGCAGCTAGAACTGATTGATATGCAATGTGATGATTCTCTGAAGAGTCAACATCAGCTTCTCTCCCTCCCTGACTTCTATCAGAGTTTGGATAATGCCAAGTTTCCTCTGATGAGACGCCACGCAAAAAGAATGATGAGCCTGTTCGGCTCAACATACATATGTGAACAAACATTTTCTCTGTTAAATCAGAACAAAAGCAGACTGAGAACCAGAATGACTGATGGCCATCTCTGTGGAGTCCTTCGTGTCTCAACCACCAAACTTTCTCCTGACATGTCAGCCATCCTTCGATCCAAAGGACAGCATCACTGCTCCCGCTGAGTGCAATGTTCTTCACATTATAGGCGAGTTAGAAATACACGCAGTATTCATCACGTGTCAATATGTCACCTCCAGTGTGTGGCCCGGCCTTTTGTTAATTTTTCTGTATTTGGACCTCACTAGAAAAAAACTTTGGACACCCCTGCGCCACAGCCGCTCCCCGCCGCTGCTGCCGACACTGCCATGCCATGACTTTGACGACGAATGCTGCAGGTGGAAGCCACGCAGGGGGAGAGCCTACAGCACCCACGCGGTGACGCGCGCGTGGGTGCACGTGCGGGCAAGCGCGCGGGTACGCGTGCGGCTACGCGCACGTACCCGCGCACAGGCACGCGCGTAGGTACCCGTGTGGGAGTGCGCGCGGGCACCTGGTGGAGAGGGTGGGGAAGGAAAAGCTCTCATCGGAGCCCTCGACGTCCACCGTGGCCAGGCTGCTCCAGCTGCTGCCAGCCCCGTTGCTGCGGGGCCGGCAGCAAAGTGACGCGGTGAGGAGGGCGGGGCAGCGGAGGAGGCGGAACAGAGGAGGGGGGTGGATTGGGAATGAAGGAGGGAGGGAGTTGGAATGAAGGAGGGGAGTGGGAACGAAGGAATGTAGAGGAGAAATGGAGGGGTGGGGAGCGTGGGAATTGGAGTCATGGTGGGCCAGTGAGTGATGAATGGCACGAGGCTCGAGTGGGTTAAGGATGCGTGTTGCAGGAGACAAAGGTCATCCCAGCCTTCGTGATTGTTATACACACGTGACTGTTATACACACGTGATTGTTATACACACGTGACTGTTATACACACGTGATTGTTATACACACGTGACTGTTATACACGTGATTGTTATACACACGTGACTGTTATACACACGTGATTGTTATACACACGTGACTGTTATACACACGTGATTGTTATACACACGTGACTGTTATACACACGTGACTGTTATACACACGTGACTGTTATACACACGTGACTGTTATACACACGTGACTGTTATACACACGTGATTGTTATACACACGCCGACGTTTCTACTGGGGGTGTGTTCCGGATTACATTTTCTATTTTTAAGGTCAATATCAGATTTTCGGATAATATACATCATCATCGTCATCGTCGTCGTCATCATCAACCTTGCTCAATCCACTGCTGGATGGAGGCCTCCCCAAGGCACCGCCATCCGGACATCTATGAATAAGAGCTTCACAGCTCATCGGATTTCTCCAGGATGAATAAAGATCCCGATTCTGATCTCACATGACCCGGCGATTCAACAATCCATCCAGCGCCTGCACATTCACCGATCTCATCGCTCTCCGTCTCCCCCTTGGACGTCTTCTCTCAGGACGCATTCTATGCCCTGGCTGTCGCTCCGTCATTATTCTTGACCACCGTCCCATCGCCCGCCCCACCACCCTCTCCTTAGCCGTGACTCATCCTGCCCAAGCCCCACTTTACTTTCCCTCGCAGTTGGGATCGTGCCACTCACCACTATGTACATTCCTAAGAGAGGTTTTTTTTTGCCTTCACTGGAGAGCACGTGTGACACCACTTTCGTCGAGAAAATCACAGCGGATGACGACGACGACGGTGAGATGACGTGTCCGCGTGGGAGTTTTGCGAGCACCTGTCGCTGAGCTGCAGGAAACTGCTGCTTTCGTCGCCCACCCCCTCGCTGCTCAGCTGGGCCCAGCTGCCCAAGCTGCCCGAGCTGCCCTCGCTGCTGCCCCCTCCTCCTCCTCCTCCCGCGCCCGGCGCGTCCGTGGAGATCCTCTCTCCGGAGCGTGCGTTGCGGGCCAGCTGCGGCGCACTGAAAACGGTACAACGTGGCCGCTACCGCCGCCGACACCAAACACGCCACAGCCACCACCGCCGTGACAAACCAACAACCCCGCAATGTCCCCGGCGCTATCCCCGGACGTGAAGGCGCTTGCTTTGTATCGCCAGTTTTTTATTTTATTTTGGCCAGCCACCGAATGGAGACGGTCACCCGCATCGCGTGCTTTCTGATGTGCGCGTCTGCACCCGTCGGGAAGGCTCTTCCTTCCCATATTAGGAAGCCGCTGGACAAATTGATTCCTTTACAACTGCTTTTTGCGTTTTAGTTTCTTATCCTTCCCCCCCCCGCACCTCCAATTAGCACCGTTGGCCTACGTACGGTGGCGCGAAAGAAGTTGAACGCGCGCACGCGCGCACATGCACGAAACAACGGCACGATGGGGCGCGTCGCCGTCACCTGCTGCCCGCGAAGCTTCCGACGATGCCGCTGTCCGACGTCTCGCCCAGGTCGCCCGCGGCGGCCCCCGACCCCGCCGCCGTCTTTCCCCCGTCCTCCCCCTCGCCCCTCCCCGTCGCCTCCGGCCCCCCCGCCGACCCGGCCTCGGCCTCCACGCGGATGAGCGGCGGTCCCCAGCCGCGCGCGGCCGTCGCGCTCGGCCGCGCGCCCGCCCGGGGCGTGGACCTCATCTGAGGCGAAGGCAGCGGCGGCGGGCCGCGCCGGCGGATCACCTCCCACTTGCCCTGCCACAGCGCCACGTTGACGAGCCTCGCGGCGTACAGCTCCACGCGGGGGGACGGCGCCGGCACGCGGGACGACGCGCCCGGCCTCCCGGCAAGCCCCGTGGCGCGCAGCGACGCCAGCACGTCGCTCGCCACGCGCTCGGCGAAGCGGCCCAGCGCCGGCGCGGCCCCGCCGGCCCCGCCGGCGCACGGGCGGTGCGGGGGGCAGCCGCCTCCCCCGGCCCTCCTCGGGGCGCCCTCCGCCCCTCGCGTCACGAAGAGGTAGAATTCCTCCGTGACGCTGTCGCTCCTCGACCGCTTCCCCGCGCCGCAGCAGCGGGAGCAGCAAGCGGCGCGGCGGCAGCCGCAGAGGCCGCCGCCGCGGCGCCGGCCCTCGGCGGCGGCCGCCACCGACGAAGCGACGACGTCCTCGGCGCAGACGTCGGCGAAGGCCCGGAGGTGAACCGTGAGGCTCTCGACCCTGCCGGCTTTCTCGCGGTAGCGGCAGTGGGGCCAGCTGGCGAGGCCGCAGGCGGCGCGGCCTCCGGGCAGGGCGAGGCGGAGGGCCCAGTCGTGGAGCCGGGACTCCGTCGCGTCTTCCAGCCTGTCCGGGCGCTCGGCGATCGGCGGCGGCGGCGGCGGCGCGGCCGCCCACGCGCTCCCGCGGTTGGCGGCCGCCAGCGACGACCGCAGGATGTTGCGCGTCATGACCTCGGCGGACCTCTCCAGTCGGGCCTTCACCAGGGACAGGACGTCCGCGCCGCCCGGCGCCGCTTTCTTCTTCCGCTGCCGCTCCCTGCGGAAATACACGTCCCTGGGCTTCGTGTCGTCGATGTAGATGGACGCGAGCTCCGTCGCCAGCGAGACGATGTCCCCGGCGAGCCGGCTCGAGTACGCCTGCACGTCGCGGTGAGCGGGCGCGCCGCCCCCCTCGGCCTCGTCCTCGCTGCTGGCCCCGGCCTCCGACAGGGAGCGCGCGACGCGCAGCACGAACTCGGCCTTCTCCTCGGCGTCGCGGCCCACGCCCGACAGCTCGGCGGCCGTCATGGCGCGTGGCGTGGAGGGCGGCACCGTGGGCTGGAAGCACTTGGACAGCTCCCGCTTCAGATCCTTGCTCAGCCTCCGCATCACCTTCCTGTCGCCGCCGCCGCCGCCCGTCGTTTCCCCCGTCGGGCCGGACGGACGCGGCGGAGGGCAGAGCCCCGGGTGGCGCAGGCCACCGCGATCGACCGACGGCTCCGGAGTCTGCACGGGGCTCGGGGGCGGAGTGGCGGGCGACCGCGTCCCCGCGGCGCCGCCGTCGCCGCCCTCCCCCGCCGGCGCCGGCGGCAGGGCGGACGGCGTCTCAGAGCCCTCGTGCCGCCCCTTGGCCTCCTCCGCAGGGAAGCGCGGCATGGAGAGGGAGAGACGCTCGGCCGGCTCGGCCGGCTCGGCCGGCTCGGCCGGCTCGGCCGGCTCGGCCTCTCCGCCGGCGCCGCTCGGCCTCCGTGCCAACTCCTCCACGGACGCGGCGCTCAGAGCTTCCCGCAACAGCGCCGACGAGACGGAGCCCGCGTACCGGCCCAGGACCGGCTCGGGGCCGGGGCCCGCCACGGACGGCAGCGGCGACGACAAGAAGCTGGTGCCGTCGCCGGACTCCGAGCCGGACTCCTTCTCCGAGACCGGAGCCGGTGCCGCCGCGAAGTCGCCGCGCCTCACCTCCCTGCCGACGGCCTCCACGAGGCACGGCCCGGCGACGTCCGCCGGAGGCGGCGGAAGGCCACTGGCGCCCGGCACTTGGCCGTTGCGGGAAATGCTGATGGCCGCCTGAGAGGGGAAGGTGCTCGCGGAGCAGGAGAGGCCGATGAAGGCCTCCTGCAGCACGGACTCGGCCAGGTCGGACGAGTACACGTCCACGACGGCGCCGCCGGCGTTCCACGCGCGGCCCTCGCGCGGCAAGTGGCTCGCCTCCATGGTGGCCTCGAACACGGCCTGCTCGGCCATCTCCCCCGAGAACTGCACCACGGCGCCCAGGTAGAGGCCGTGCCAGGCGTCCGGCAGGGCCTGCATAGCGCTCAGCACGGCGCCCCTCACCACGCCGTCCACCAGCGACGCCAGCCTCTCGTCCCCAGCGGCGAGACCGGCGGCCCGGCGCGGGGCGGGCGCCGTGCCCCGCCTCCTCCCGTACGCCACCTCCCGGATGGCGTCGTAAAAGCAGGCCCCGACCAGGCCGTCGGCCATGGCGCTCACGCGCGCCAGGTCTCCGGGCGCCGTCCAGCAGCACCGCCCCGGGGAGGAGGCGGGAGCCTTGACGCGCGAGCGAACCCGCCGGCTGCGCGGCCCCCGCCGGCCACCGCCCTCCCGCTGCTTGCGAGCGAGGCCGGACAGGGCGGAGCCCAGCACGGCGGACGACAGATTCCCGGCGAACTCGCCCAGCGTCGCCAACTCTCGCCGGGTGCGCCGATAGGGGCCCGTCGTGGCGTTCCGAGCCCCGCCGCCGTGCGGAGAACCTCCGGCATCGCTCCCTCTCCGCTGGACGGGGGGGGCGCCGCCGCCGCCGCGTTTCTCCCCGCGAGCGCACGACAGCGACCTCATGATACTGCCGGATATGCGGCTTGCGAGCTCCGACACGGAGTTCGGTTCGCTCTCCTCCGCCGTGGCCGGAGGCGCCGGCTCGGCCGCCCGGCCGCACTCTGCCCCCTCGCCGGGCCCGGCGCTCGGCGCCGCCAGCGCCAGCGACTGGAAGATTCTGCTCGAGATCTGCGTGGCCAAGTCGGCCACGGTGGAGACGCCGCCGGGGCCGGCGGCCCGTACGTTGGGAGGCGTGAACGCCGACGCGCGCTTCCACTCCGGCTGCTGCTGCTGCTGCTGCTGCTGCGACGGCAGCGCCGGCCGGGGCGACGGGTCGCGGCCGTCGGCGAAGCCCGCGGGGGGCGGCGTGGGCGAGCCCCCGACGAGGCCCACGACGGGCGAACCCGGAGCGTCGGTCGGCTTCCGGGGCAGCGGCTTCCGCAGCCCGGCCGGCGGGAAGGAGCGATCGAAACGTCGCGGGTTGGGGGCGCCACGCCCCGGAGCCGGCAGGCGCCGGCCCCTCGCCCCCGCGCCGCCTTCGCCGCCCGTGCCGTCCGGCGTCTCGAAGCGCTCGCGGCTGTCGAAGAATTCCCCGAGCTCCGAGTCGGAGTCTTCGATGTCGTGGCCGAGCAGCGCGGGGATGCTGGGCACGTGGATCTCGGCGCGCATGCTGCGCTCGTAGCCCTCCTCGTCCAGGAAGATGACGGGGCTGGGGCTCGAGCCGTTCGACTCCTCCGTCTCGGACGCCGCCTCCTCCTCCTCCTCCTCCTCCCGCGCGGCGGCGGCGGCGGCGGCGTCCTTGAGGAACGACGGCCTCTGCGTCTCGACTTCCGAGTCGGAACACGACGAGTCGCCGAGCTCCTTGGCGGGCGACGGAAACGCCGCGGCGGCGCCTCCACCCCGGATGCTTTGGTCCGAGTGGCCGTCGCCGCCGACGTCGCCGCCGACGTCGCCGGCACCGCTGGAACATCGACCCGGGAGAGGGGACGCCGCAGAGAAGCGCAGCCGTTGGGCCGGCGGTGGCGCCCGGCTGAGCAGGTGGCGGCGGCGCGAGGCCACGGGGGTCGGGGGCAGCAGCAGGAGCGTTGGCGGCGCCGTGCCGCGCTCGGGGGAGGAGCGTGGCTCCACCGCCAACTGCGAGCCGTCGCCGGGGCCACCCGGGGGACCGCCACGCGGCCGGACGTCCGGGACGCGGGCCGGGGGTCCGGGGGCCTCCACGCCGCCCTGCTGCCAGTGACCGCAGCCATGCCTGGGGTCACTCTCCACGCCGCTCCCACCTGAAGGCGAACATCAGAGAAGGGTTTTTAGGGGGTGTGGGGAGAGACACGTGCTTGGAATGATGTCGGAGAGACAGAAAGAGGAACACGTGGATTAGAGCAGTGGTTCCCATCCATTCAAAACCAGCGGATCACTGCCCTGCCAACCCTCAAACCAGCGTCGCAGACGACAATGCACGAACATCGTTTTCAACATGGAAACAACTGCGGATCCTGACATCTGCTACAGTGTCCGGGGACCGCTCCCCACAGCGACTCAGCCACGGGCGACTCAACCACGGGCGACTCAACCACGGGCGACTCAACCACGGGCGACTCAACCACGGGCGACTCAACCACGGGCGACTCAACCATGGGCGACTCAACCAAGGGCGACTCAACTGCGGTGCCTCAACCACGGGCGACTCAACCACGGGCGACTCAACCACGGGCGACTCAACTGCGGTGCCTCAACCACGGGCGACTCAACCACGGGCGACTCAACCACGGGGGCGACTCAACCACGGGCGACTCAACCACCGCGGGCGACTCAACCACGGGCGACTCAACCGCGGCGCCTCACCTTCGTCCTCCAGCACCTCGAACGCCGTCACAAAGTCGTCCTCGATGGAGCTCACAGAGCAGTTGGTGTCGTCTTCCGCCTCGACGGCCGTAGCGACGTCGCACAGCGCGCAGCGGCCGTGGCCCAGCCCGGCCATTTCGCCGGCGCGGCGCTCGCCCGCCCGGCGCTCGGCCACCCGGCGGTCGCTCGCCCACGAGCAGCCGAGCGCGGCCACGTGCAGCTGGTGCTCCAGCCAGGGCCGCCAGCGGTACAGGCAGATGGCGCCGTTCCCGTGGCCCTGCGCGAAACGCGGCACGAGCGTGTGACAGGGTGCTCCCCCCCCCACCCCTCTCCCCCCCCCCCCCCCCCCCGCCAACCCCCGTCTCATTCTTTGCACCTGGGCCCAAAGAAACCGGTGAATCAAGAGCTCGCAAAAGATATATATACAAATTTCTGCGGATGCCACCAGGTGTAATGGCCAGCAATACTGGACCTGCAATAACCGCAAATTGGAAACTGGTAAAAAAAAAAGTGAGCAGTTTTCCACACGTAGAATATCCGAGTCATAGAACTTAACTGAGAAACATAGGAAGCTGCCCTGGTGTAAAGGTCAGTGCACTGGACATGCAATCCGGAGGTCGCCGGTTCGACTGCACACTTCCAGTTGAAACCACGGAGCAAGTTTCTCAAATCCCCAGGGTGCCTCTTGCCCACCCAGCAGTACAAATTGGTTCATTGCAGTCGGTCAATCGGCAGGTCGTGCACGCTGGGGTCAAGTGCAGGTACTGCCTGCCACCTCTTCTAAGGCCAGTGTGGAAGGTCTCGAGCCATCTCTAGAGGAGGAGTGTAGGGCTGCACCTTGACCTTAGCAAGTCACTGGAACTATGCAATCTAAACACAAATTGTCAATGAAGCCTTTCCCGTTCCGAGACATCTGCAAGTTCAGAATCAGAACATGTATCTATACTGGAGGAACCCGATGAGCTATGAAGTTATTTTTCACAAATGTCTAGCCATAGGTTGCAGGGTGGGTCACGTTCACCGCTGAATCTGGGAACGCGCAAGCGGTTCAGCGTTCATTTTATCCAGAGAGGCGTAGCGCCGTTGTTTTTAAAGACACCGTACTCACAACAGGGAACCGTAGCGGCACGACCACCGCACTTTGATAGCTGGTGCCAAAATGTGCCACGCCCTCCCGCGTGGCCCTGTGGGAGCCTCAGAAACGATTTTTCTTACGATTCCGTTCCGATTAAGAAAAGCTGGGAAAGGGTTCATCGTTTCTCGCGTAATTTAGATACCGATTACGAATGAAAGTAGAGGGCCTGGCGCTCCGTAATCGTGTCTTGCCTCACCTCCCCCGCGGGCGGTGACGGTGTCATGTGTTCTCCACCCTTGCCCAGCGCTAAACCTCGTTCGGCCCTAGTCACCAGAAGCACCTCGTCCACGCCAATCTCCAGGGGAGGCAGGGACCGCACCAGCGCGCCAATCGCCGGCGGCGCGTCCTGCACGGCAGCGGCACACATGCGCGCAAGCGCGCACACGCGCAGCGTTGTTAACCAGCGCAAGCAAAACGCGGCGGGCGGCTCGCAAGCCTCCCAAATGCCATATTGGTCCAGCCATGGAGGTCACTGGAATATAGGTCACCGTGCTGGTCAGTGCGTGTTGACGAAGGGGGGTTCGGATATCACTCGCCACTGATGTTAGCCGTGCCAAACAATTAAATTATGAGTAGAAGCCGGTTTGCCGAGTACACAATGCAATGCGAGCTAGTAATCGAATGGTCGGTGTTAATTATGTGTATTTTTTATAATTATGAATACAAATTACAATCAAAATTAGTAAAACAATAAACTGTTTGCCGACGAAAGCCACACTTGGGATTTATGGTCATCACCAATGACTCTACTTTGTATGTTTTTAAGCTTTGCGAGGAAACAGGAGAACCCGGAGAAAATCCACGAAGAACGGGGGAAGAGAATACAAACGCTTCAAAAGATTTGGGCCAGAGCCAGGAATCAAGCCCAGGTCCTGGTGGCTATGGGTCACACGCATTACCACTGCCCAAGTAAACATGCAACGTTGGGCCAACATTGGCACGTGGTTCGATCCACCGGACCAACGTTGGCCCAACGTTGGCCCAACGTTGGCCCAACGTTGGGCCAACTTTCCATGTTTACTGGAGCGCCACGCTGTGCGTTCTCCTTTTGTTCTGTTGGTTTCCTCCGCTCTCTTCGGTTTCCTCCCATAGCAAAAAAAAAAACATATTCACAAAGCAACTGGTATAGCCCAAATGTCCCCACCCTGAAAAATTACCTGCAAATTAATCAGCTGCCATTACACATGGCAAAATCATCCCCGATTGTGAAAAAGTGTCAGAACACTCCGGAGAAAGAGGCACGGTGAGCTTCTCCTGGGAAAGCAAGCCGTCGTATAAAATAATAAAAGCCACAAAACTCAGCTGAAGACGGACAGCCGTGCGCGTTTCATTTTTTTATTCTAACCAAGTAACGCCCACTGAGCTACCTCGTTTTCAGAAGCGATCTGGCTATCGCAAATGACAGCCCAATTAGGTGGCTTATCTTTGTGGGAAATGTACAGCAGCAGTCAAATACTCTAAACGCGTGACGTTCATTCTAAATGTGGAGGGGGGGAAAACTGGAGAACCCAGAGAAAAATTCAAAACATGCAAACTCCAAAAACATAAAAAATACAGCCGTCAGCGTCGGGATCGAACTTACGACCGCCTGCATCCTGCGAGGGAGTTAACATCTGATTCTAGATTAAAAGCTTTCGTGACTGCAAGGATCCATAACATCTGACTCAACTGGAGAGGGACAGCCCTGTGTGTATGTCCCATCCCCCCCGCCCCCCCCCAGGCAATGACAGAGGGCACATGTGAAGGAGGTGTGAGCGTCACGGGGGCGGTGAGAATGCACCTTGATGATTATCCCCGGGATAATTAGCCCGAGGGACAGGCGCCGTGGTGTGTGCAGTACTCGAGCGGTGTGCAAAGGGCACGATCGTTGAGCTCACCTCCCAGCCGGCCTTGTCGACTTCATCCCAGCCGTTCCTGGTGCACGAGACGAACGTAACCTGTGCGGACAGGGACAGGTAATAAGGGATAAGAATTTGCGTGATCTTGACACAGGACCGGTCAACCTTTGATTAGCCAGAGTATTGGGGGAGGGGAGGGTTGATCCAGATTAAAAAAAAGATAATGAAAATCACGTGAACTAGGGGATTAAACCCAGAGCTACTGTTTACTTGTAGAGACTATGGGTGGAGATGCAGAATGCATCCTCTGATCAGATGCCTTGCCACCGTGGCGAGATGTTAACTAGCTCGCCTGGTATAAGGAGGGTCGTGGGTTCGATCCCGACACCTGCTGTATATTTGTAGTTTGCATGTCTCTCTCCCCGATTTAGAAACACGCGTTGGCAGTATTTGGCTGCGGTTATAAATTTCCACACGATGATAAGCCCCTTCTCGTTGAGGCATCATTCATGGCCAGGTCGCTCCCGAAAAAGAGCTACACCGCTTCATGGACGCTTAGTGGGCCCTTACCGGGTAAAATAAAAAAATAGTTTACAGTTTTAGTTTTTTGCGTGTTTGCGGTGATGTGTGCATTGAGACCTTCCATCCCACTGACCCCCTACGGGCAAGGAGCGGACAAGTGTTTACCTCTGCACTTACACGCGAAATCTACTCAGCCCATCGGTGATCGAGAGTTGCCTGTATTGGACACCCTTCCAAATGAGACCTTCCATCCCAAGGGATTATCAGGGTGACATATTTGAAGAAAAAACGCATTTTAGAAACAAGACTGAAATTTAATCTGCTCTTGTAGCCCACACAAATCGTCTCAGGAGCTGAAAATCAAGTTCAAGTTCTCCTGTTTATTTTTGTTGAACCAGGTGAGAAAGAAAGAGACCGGAATGGGTCTCATTGGCATTCATGGCCTGGATCACCACAATGCCAAAAGCAATCAGGTAAAATGAAGAGCGGCAATGAAGCAAATTAAAACATCTCGGGCCACGGTGTATGCATGTTCAACGGATGTATGTAGAATTTATTTCGCACGGGACGTAGCCAAGGGTAAGGACGACAAAACTAAACACGAAAAAACACAGTTCTGGTGGTGGTGCACAATACCTCTGCGAGACCCTTGCTGTCGTGGGTCTGGCCAATGCAGAGCTCGCAGAGCCGCCTGCTGCTGCGTAGCCACGAGCTCAGGCAATGCGGCGTGACGGCGGCGAGACCCTGCCAGTAGTCACACAAACCATGGGTTCACACACAAAGGTCCACTGTGTAGCCTACATACGTTGCTGGGGCAAGTGCTGTAACGCAAACACCGATAACGTCAGCACGGCACACGAGGGGTGGTGTGCCCAGCGCCAACGCCTCGGCCGCCTTTGTCTCGCGAGTGCTGTTTACCAGGTAATCGAGGCCGAGTCGACCTAGGGGAAGCCAGTGATTTTAACCGTGGCTGAGAATCCAACTCAGGCCGCGAGGTTCATGGCACCGAATGTGAACCACTATGCTACCGCTCCCCACACACACACACTCCCTTGTACACATTATTCCACTAAAAGGCATTCTTAGAAAAGGTTGGAATGGAAACCCGGTAAACGTGGACTAGCAAAACTGCATCTGCCAAGTGAAGTACTTGTACACGCAGAGACCTTTATCAATCAACTGCTGGATGAGCGCCTCTCCACAAGATGTGGGTCATGGGGGTTATTGTACAATACTTCAGCAGGCTGGCCAGTGCGGGTTTCGCGAAGGCGGGAAGCACCGATGCGGGGGGCACTGAAGTACGGTACAACAATTAACTTTTCTGCACGGCTGCTCTCTACTGCCCACCACGTGACCCGGCGACCGATGACAACCACCCGTTGCGCACGGCGGCCACCTGCCCAAGCGCCATCTCTGTCGGCTCGACCACGATGACTTTCTAAAATCTGTCGAAAGACGGGCATTTTCTGGGCGGGTTGACCACAGGCGGCCACAGGAGCCAACGTCAAGAGCTGCATCGGGGGAAGCCAAGCCAGGCAGAACACGTGGGCTCAGCCTCGCTGCTGCCCAGCGTCATTAAGGTGGAGGTGGCCTGTCCCTCGGGCTAATTATCCTGGGGATAATCATCATGGTTGCATCCTCACCGCCCTCGTGACGCTCACACCTCCTTCACACGTGCCCTCCATCATCGCCTGCGGGGAGGGGGGGAGTGGGACACACACAGGGAAAATCTCAAAAAGGCCATGTGGAACGCAAGTTCCGCACGCACGCAAAACGCACCCTAATGAATCCTATAAACCCACGCCGAAGACAAAGATTCCCCATATAGCCTTGTCAGAATGTTGGGGTAAGTGATGTGAGCGAGCAGCACCTACGAAGGCCGGCACAGCACACGAGGGGGTGGGCGGTCAGCACCTCGCCCGTTTTCTCCCCAGTGGCGATGTTTACACACCGTACCAGGTACTCATGTAAGACTGAGTGGACATAGGGGAGGCCCAGGTCCGGTTCAGATAATCATCACTGGTGATAGCCGTGTGCGGGAATCGAACTCGGCCGGGTTTGTAGCACTAAGAACGACACGCCTGCTCCCCACGACTGCTCCCCACAACCAATGAACCACACCGATCACCGTCACACACCCTCCCATCAAGGCTCCAAACCATCATTACCGGTAACCACGGAAACCACCTTGTAAAGACCGGAAAAAAAACAGTTGCAGGTTTACTGCAAATACATAAACACTCATCATCCAAACACACCACGCTAACCACTCAACCCTCACCATCCACAGGACTCCCACCCCACCATCACCACCTACAACACACCACGCTAACCACTAAACACTCACCATCCCAGCACTCCCACCCCACTCACCCTCACCATCCCAGCACTCCCACTCACCCTCCCATCACCATCTACAACACACCACGCTAACAACTCAACCCTCACCATCCCAGAACTCCCACTCACCCTCACCATCCCAGCACTCCCACCCCACTCACCCTCACCATCCCAGCACTCCCACTCACCCTCACCATCCCAGCACTCCCACCCCACTCACCCTCACCATCCCAGCACTCCCACTCACCCTCACCATCCCAGCACTCCCACCCCACTCACCCTCACCATCCCAGCACTCCCACACCACTCACCCTCACCAACCCAGCACTCCCACTCACCCTCACCATCCCAGCACTCCCACCCCACTCACCCTCACCAACCCAGCACTCCCACACCACTCACCCTCACCAACCCAGCACTCCCACTCACCCTCCCATCACCATCTACAACACACCACGCTAACAACTCAACCCTCACCATCCCAGCACTCCCACACCACTCACCCTCACCATCCCAGCACTCCCACCCCACTCACCCTCACCATCCCAGCACTCCCACTCACCCTCACCAACCCAGCACTCCCACCCCACTCACCCTCAGCAACCCAGCACTCCCACCCCACTCACCCTCACCAACCCAGCACTCCCACTCACCCTCACCAACCCAGCACTCCCACCCCACTCACCCTCACCATCCCAGCACTCCCACCCCACTCACCATCACCAACCCAGCACTCCCACCCCACTCACCCTCACCAACCCAGCACTCCCACTCACCCTCACCAACCCAGCACTCCCACCCCACTCACCCTCACCATCCCAGCACTCCCACCCCACTCACCCTCACCATCCCAGCACTCCCACCCCACTCACCCTCACCAACCCAGCACTCCCACACCACTCACCCTCACCAACCCAGCACTCCCACTCACCCTCACCATCCCAGCACTCCCACATCACTCACCCTCACCAACCCAGCACTCCCACCCCACTCACCCTCACCAACCCAGCACTCCCACCCCACTCACCCTCACCATCCCAGCACTCCCACCCCACTCACCCTCACCAACCCAGCACTCCCACCCCACTCACCCTCACCAACCCAGCACTCCCACACCACTCACCCTCACCAACCCAGCACTCCCACCCCACTCACCCTCACCAACCCAGCACTCCCACCCCACTCACCCTCACCACCCCCACTCACTCCTCACCACCCCACTCACTCCTCACCACTCACCACCCCCACTCACCACCCCCACTCACCACCCCCACTCACCACCCCCACTCAACACCCCCACTCACCACCCCCACTCACCACCCCCACTCACCACCCCCACTCACCACTCACCACCCCCACTCACCACTCACCATCCCTACTCACCACCCCCACTCACCACCCCCACTCACCACCCCACTCACCGCTCACCACCCCACTCACCACCCCTACTCACCACCCCCACTCACCACTCACCACCCCCACTCACCACCCCCACTCGCCACTCACCACCCCCACTCACCGCTCACCACCCCACTCACCGCTCACCACTCACCATCCCCACTCACCACCCCCACTCACCACTCACCACCCCCACTCACCACTCACCACCCCCACTCACCCCTCACCACCCCACTCACCGCTCACCACCCCACTCACCACCCCTACTCACCACCCCTACTCACCACCCCCACTCACCACCCCCACTCACCACTCACCACCCCCACTCACCACCCCCACTCACCACCCCCACTCACCACTCACCACCCCCACTCACCGCTCACCACCCCACTCACCGCTCACCACCCCACTCACCACCCCCACTCACCACCCCCACTCACCACTCACCACCCCCACTCACCGCTCACCACCCCACTCACCGCTCACCACCCCACTCACCACCCCCACTCACCACCCCCACTCACCACTCACCACCCCCACTCACCACCCCACTCACCACCCCCACTCACCACCCCACTCACCACCCCCACTCCCCCCTCACCACTCACCACCCCCACTCACCACCCCCACTCACCACCCCCACTCACCACCCCCACTCACCCCTCACCACTCACCACCTCCACTCACCACCCCCACTCACCACTCACCACCCCCACTCACCACCCCCACTCACCCCTCACCACCCCCACTCACCACTCACCACCCCCACTCACCACTCTACTCACCACCCCCACTCACCACTCCTCGTGTCGACTCCGCCGGTCTCCCGCCCGTCCCCTTGCAGCGGAGCGGCGTTAGAGTAACGAGGCCGACATGGCGGTGTGTGTACACGTGTGTGTGTGTTAGTGTGTGTGTGTTAGTGTGTGTGTGTTAGTGTGTGTATACGTGTGTGTTAGTGTGTGTTAGTGTGTGTGTTAGTGTGTGTTGGTGTGTGTGTGTACACGTGTGTGTTGGTGTGTGTGTTGGTGTGTACACGTGTGTGTGGGTAAGGGTGTGTGTTGGTGTGTGTTGGTGTGTGTTGGTGTGTGTGTACACGTGTGTGTTGGTGTGTGTTGGTGTCTACACGTGTGTGTGTTGGTGTGTGTACGTGTGTGTTGGTGTGTGTGTTGGTGTGTACACGTGTGTGTTGGTAAGGGTGTGTGTGTGTTGGTGTGTGTAAGGTTGAGTGTTGTTAATAATCAAGTACGTGTGTTATGAAGGGGGTGTGAGGTTCGTCAGGATGTCTGTATTTACTTGTGCCAATGTGTGTGTGTCTGTGTGTGTAGTGTACGATTGTCTCTGTATGTGCAGTACTGTAATTATTGTGTATCTGTCTACAGTGTGACTGTGTGTGTCTGTGAATGAGTAGTTTAGATCTCTGCAGTGGGTACTGCTATTGTGCATATATGTATATGTGTGTTATATGTGTGTTACATGTGTGTTATACAGGTGTTGTGTACATATGCATATATAAAGTATTGTGTTTAGACAGTGTTAGTTTATGTATATACAGTATCAATGTGTATCTGTGTGGTGTGTGTATAACTGTGTATACTGTACAGTATTGTCTGTGTTAATGTGTATGAAGGCTCTAATGTGTCTGTGTATACAATAGTTTTGTGTCTATCAGTATACAATATCACCGTGTATCTCCGTGTGTATCTCCGTGTGAATCTCTGTGTGATGTGTGTTTGTATCTCTGTGTATTTATGTGTGGTGTATCTCCGTGTGAATCTCTGTGTGATGTGTGTTTGTATCTCTGTGTATTTATGTGTGGTGTATCTCTGTGTGAATCTCTGTGTGGTGTATCTCTGTGTGTGTATCTGTGTGTGTATCTCTGTGTAGTGTGTGTGTCTGTGTGTATTTACGTGGTGTGTATCTCTGTGTGATGTGTGTTTGTATCTCTGTGTATTTATGTGTGGTGTATCTCTGTGTTAATCTCTGTGTGGTGTATCTCTGTGTGTGTATCTGTGTGTGTATCTCTGTGTAGTGTGTGTCTCTGTGTGTATTTACGTGGTGTGTATCTCTGTGTGATGTGTGTTTGTATCTCTGTTTATTTATGTGTGTGTATCTGTGTGTGTATCTCTGTGTGAATCTCTGTGTGGTGTGTGTATGTATCTCTGTGTGTATGTATTTTTACGTGGTGTATCTCTGTGTATCTGTGTATTTACGTGGTGTGTCTCTGTGTGTATCTATGTGTATGTGTATCTCTGTGTGTGTATCTGTGTAGTGTGTGTGTATCTGTGTGTCTCTCTCTATGTATCTGTGTGTGTATCTGTGCGTGTCTGTACAGTGTATCTGTGTGTGTGTGTATCTCTGTGTGTATCTCTGTGTGTCTGTGTGTGTCCCTGTGTGTGTATCTATGTGTATGTGTATCTCTGTGTGTGTATCTGTGTGTATCTGTGTAGTGTGTCTCTCTCTGTATATCTGTGTGTATCTGTGTAGTGTGTGTGTCTGTGTGTCTCTCTCTGTGTATCTGTGTGTGTATCTGTGCGTGTCTGTACAGTGTATCTGTGTGTGTATCTCTGTGTGTGTATCTCTGTGTGTCTGTGTGTGTATCTCTGTGTGTATCTATGTGTATGTGTATCTCTGTGTGTGTATCTGTGTAGTGTGTGTGTGTCTGTGTGTCTCTCTCTGTGTATCTGTGTGTGTATCTGTGTGGTGTGTGTGTGTCTGTGTGTCTCTCTCTGTGTATCTGTGTGTGTATCTGTGCGTGTCTGTACAGTGTATCTGTGTGTGTATGTGCGTGTCTGTACAGTGTAAAATCGCGTGTTGTTGGTGCTGCTGCTGCTGGTGGTGGTGTGAGAGGAAGCGATGCCGATAGCCGTGACGAGGGCCTACGTCACATCCAGCTCCACCCACACACAGCGTACACATACACACTACAGCATACACATACACACTACAGCTTACA